TATAATTAGTCAAATAATTTTTTAAATGTTCACATATCTTTGTTGAAATAACAAAACGATGAATTTCTTTTTTTTTTGTATTGCAGACTGAGTTATTCATATGAAGGTACAGATGCTGGACAAACAACTGATGCTCTAATTGATATGACTGGTAATTTGTTTTATCTCTAAAATAAAATTCATTGTTGTTAATTAGGAGGGATAGAAGAATCATTTAATACAAAAGATATTAAAGATAAAGATCAATTTTGGCAAACAATGGGTATAGCATTAAAACATGATGCAATGGTCGGTTGTTCTATTACAGTATGTTTATGATTCAAATAAATTTTTTAATGATTAACATTTTATCTATTAATATGAATTCTCAAGCCGGATCCAACTGAACGTGAAGCTAAAATGACTAATGGTTTAATTAAAGGTCATGCGTATGCTGTAACAGCTGCTGTTCGTGTTAAACTGACGACAAACGAAATAGTTCAAATAGTTCGTTGTCGAAATCCATGGGGAAATGAAGTTGAATGGAAAGGTGCCTGGAGTGACGGGTAAAAAAAGTTCAATTGATGTTTTCGTAATTATTTTCTTTTAAATATTAGAGATTTAAACAATTGGAGTAAAGTAGATCAACATACCAGAGAACAATTACATTATCAAAAACAAGCCGATGGAGAATTCTGGTAAAATAATATTAATCTATTGATTCAAATTAATAAAATATCAATTCTATAATAGGATGCTTTATTCTGATTGGTTAAAAAATTTTGAACAAATACAAATATGTAATCTTTCACCTGATTCATTCGAAGGACAACTTACTACTCAACAAGTAACAATAAAAACGTTTCGTACTGGCTTTTTTTTGTATTCTAATGAAAAAAGGGAAAACATATAACTTGGCGTCAAACACAATTTGATGGTGCTTGGATAAAAGGACAAACAGCTGGTGGATGTGGTCAACCGAGAGTTGGTTAATAAGAAAAAAATTCTATTTATGTTCAACAAAAGAACAGTTTGATTTATTTAATAGAGAAATTTTTTACTAATCCTCAATATTTAATAACTATAACAAAAACAGACATTGAAGGTGGTGATGGCTTATGTACAGTAATATGTGCTTGTCTTCAAAAATATACACGTCAAAAACGACAACAAACTGGTGTACAACAAGCTGAAGAATATATTAATTTACGTTTATATAAAGTTCGATTCTTTTTATATAAAATATAATTTGTCGAAAACAAAATATTTATCCTAGATCAAAGATTCTATCGATATGTCCCAAGTAGGGGAAGGTCATAAATATTATCCGAAAGATCTTGAACGACAAGATGATACAGGTGAGTAATAAAACGATTGTTTTTATAGTATAAATAATAGTTTCTTCATAGGTGCTTATATTAATAAACGTGAAGTTGTCGGACGATTTCGAATTAAACCAGGACATTATATTCTTATACCATCAACCTACGAACAAGATAAAGAAGGTGAATTTCTTATTAGAATATTTACTGAAGGTGGATCAACTGGACAATCATTGAATATAGAACAACCTGATACAGTAAGGAATTGATTTTGTATAAATCCATTCATTTATAATTTGATAATATCAGGGTCCACCATCACCAACAACTAGAAATGAAAAGTACGAATTTAATGATGGAAAAGGTGAAGATCAAAGTTTTAGTGTCATGCAATGGTATGAGAAATTACCTGAATCACAACGAAGTTTACTCAAGTAAATTGAAATTCTTGATAAGAATTTTTACAAAAACAAAATATGATTTTTTAGATATGGTGGTATTGCAACAGTTGGTGTGGGTGTTCTATGTTGTCTTGGTTTTTTCAGTAGAAAATATTGTTGTAAGAAGAAAAAGTCTAATAAAAATAATCAACCTGTTTTAGAATATTAAATTTAAATATTTTATTTTATTCTTTTTTGATGATCTCATAGAGTATGGGTGTGGATGTGGGATATAGAAAAGGCACTCATACTTACACCCACACCCATTAGATAGATTCATTGAATAGTCTTCGTTTAAATGATATTATTTTTCTGAGAAAATTCGAGTTTAATTTATATATTTTCGAATACAATAAATAGTTTTATTATTTCAAAACATGTATCTAGTTTATATTTACAAAAAAAATCTAATTTATAAGAATATATACATTTATCAAAGTTCAAATTCACGACGACGATATAAAATAAGTTGTGGTTGTCGATATTTAGTTCGAAATCCACCAAAAAATCGCATAGCATCAATAAATAAAAGTTTGTCTTCAACGGATATTTGACCATTAAGTAATTTATATTCATCAAAAGGATCTTCTTCAATAGAATATTCATCGATGTCTAAAGCATATTGAACAGGTGTAAGATAAAGAAAAAATGATGTTGAATGTTTTAATTCATCACTATGATCCTCTTCATCGTTAGGTATTTTATAAATAAGTTCAAATTTTCTTGTAATACTTTTATTTGTTCTCATATTATTATTTAATTTTTTAGAAAGATAATTATTTAATGTATCAATTGCAGTATCTATTTGAGGACATTGACAATCATCTGATGGTTTTTCATAAGTATCCATTGTACATTCTTGACACATATATAAAGGTTTTGCATAATTTAATTTAAATTCATCTCGTCGTAAATCAAATATATCTTTTGTTACATATTTAAATAAATGTGGTGGTAAATAAGCAGTTATAAACCATTTGTTTTGCTCATGTTTCATTAATGCAATATGACGAGCACATAGTTCTTTAAGAGTAAGTAAATTATTTGATTTTATTCCGGTACGTTCAAATCGTTTAATAGCACCACATAACGAATGACGATCACCTTCAATTCCAATAGCTATTGTTTCAGTTGTTGTTTGATTTTTATAATTTCGACCCATAATAAATTTAAAAAAAAATAAAACGATCTAATAATAAAATAAATATAATTAAGAAGTTTGAATTTAGACAATTATCATTCAAAGAGGTATAGATATATATTACAGTTAATCTTCAAGAATTATAGAAAAGAAAATATATTACGATGTATGGTTATCGAGGTCGAATGAATACAATTCGTAACTATTCGTCCAGTATGTAACGACGATTTATTGTTGTATTGGACGGATATGATGTTTGTTTTTTTTTTTTATTCTATTCATGTTTACCAGAATAATAATTACTGTATGTCGACTAGTATCACTAAAATATTGTTCGATTTTTGTCTTTCTCCTTGAAAATATATATAATGTTGTGTTCAAAAGTAACTTCCGGTTTTCTGTTAAACATGTAAAAAGAAGAATGAATATTAAAAGAACCGGAATTTCCGTTTGTCAAGTATTATTCTATCAATTATTACATAGTTCTTTTCACTTGCTTGTATACGCTAAATATTCCATTCGTCTATCATCTGAATTATACATTCATTGTTTCGTAACAGTTACTATTTTCTAATAAGACATCCAGAACTGAAAATGATTTCGAATAGACATTATGTTGTATTCAATTTGATAGTGAGCAGTATTTTTTTTTACTTGTGAATTAATATTACAAATTCATATAGATACAATTATACATGATACTATTAACGTCACAAAATATTCTATAAGACGTATTCGATAAATTCATCGTTAAAGTTTAATACATGTTGGAATATATTAGCATTAATTATATCGAAATTTGAGAAAAAAAACTTTTTATTATAGATGATTAAGATTTTTTCGAAAAGAAAAATGTTTATTTTTTTGTTTCTCTTGGCAATATGAAGGGCATTTGCAAGTATTTGCTCGATCAATGTTTATATTACAATTGAAATTTCTTGTGTCAACTATATTGGATTAAATAAAAAGGAAAATCTTTCAGTACAAAATGTCAATGAGATTGATTCACTCGCTTTAATACACTTTGTTTTTTAATAAAGTTCAAGAAAAGTTTGATGTTAAAACTAACAGATGCGTCATTCAAACATTTGGTATATGCACGTCTGTTACTCTCTCGATCATGAAAAAATCATTCATAAAGAACAAAATGAAATCCGAGTAAACATCCTTAGAAAAGAAAAAGAAAAGAAGCCTACAACAAACATTCATCGAAGAACAATTCATACTGAAAGAATATTCTCGTGTAATTTATACGAAAGTTTATTACGTCTACAAACTGGAATACTATATGTATGTGAGCCAATAAAACATTCGATAATATCTATCTATAAAATGAATTGTTTATAGTTCGAATGAGTAGACAAAAAGAAAGAGTTGTATACCTATACAAGTTTGGACAATAATAAACAATATATCAAAATTATATCATTGAATTGACTTTGACTGAAAAGGTGTGAATCAAATTATCATTAACCCTCAAGAAACATTTTACGTATAGTTCTCTTTTCAGGTATGTAAAAAGTATTGCTTTCTATCAAATATATATTTCATGAATGTAGCGATCACGCAAAAGAACAAAGATTTCTTTTTAACCTTGCTATGTAAGTTTATTTAAGTATGCTTTTATAATAAGATCTCATTGAAGTATTTGTACTCTTATAGTTGAAATAAATTCATATAAAGAAAGAAGAACGTTTAATACGAAATAAGCAGTATTTTTAGTTTCTCTTATGTGAGAACTTGTACTAATAATAAAAAAACCTACGATAATATTCGATAGAAATTAGATTCAAAGTCATTTTTATTGTGCTTTTAATTAGTATACTTAATATATATGATTAGATATAGAATTAAATACTAATGTTCATCATGATATTTGTTTAGAAAATTATTCAGATGAGTTATTTTTTAAACAGTGTAAATGCAATAACTGAATCAATAAGTTTAATTTTGTAAAAACTGACTTGATGAACTATTTATCCCATGAAAAATTATCGTTTATAATTATTCAATCTTGAAAAGAAAGCATTTGGTAGTTCATGATCTTAGTATTTATTATCAACAATAATATATTATAATATAATATCCATTTAGCGATATGTACATCAAGGAAAAGATAGAATAGTAATTAATAAATATGTAAATATAACGTATCGAAATTATTATGAAAAAATTCAATAGATATCAGAACATTTATTAGGTATCTTGTTACACTATGATTAAGTTATTTTTAATAGTTTTTCATAGTCTGTCTTAGCTAAAGAAATCATAGTATTTTTTTATTCCGATACCGTTAGATAGAACGTCGTTTAACCTACCAAATCATACTGCTTTGATTTTATTTGCTATGACTCTAATACAATAAATTGCTAAGTTACAGAAAGGTGCTTTTAAAAGTTTTTGCAGAGGTATAATACATTTCGTACTTCCTGTTTTCATCGACAAATCACTGCTATTGCGCAGCTAAACGTAACTTCTGTACTCTATGAAAACATCTACAATTTATATAAAAGAACTTTAATCGATTTTATTCTATAAGGAACATATTTTTCATTTTTTTTCGTTAGAAAAAACATTGTTTTTTTATGCAAAAAAGAGATATTTGCTTATAACTCAATGTTTTTGTAACCTGAGAATATTTTTAGAAGCAAAAGTGAAGTGCAACAGTGAGAAACAGTACGAAAAGCTCTTGAAGCTATACTAGAAATTCTATTATCATTGGTTTTAAACAGATTTAATAAATGATGTGAGTATAATACTGACATACTTGGTATTTTGTTGGTTCGGTATTTCTCCGTTTCGAAACCAAAAAGAATGAAAATAAAACAAGTGATCTTGCATAAATTTTAGAATTTTTCACAGCTCATCTTCCGGTATACTTTATTTTTAATATAGTGTATTAAATGAGCAATTTCTTGTAGTAAAAGCATACCAAATAAAATCAAAATAGTATAGTTTGGTAGAGTAAACGATGTTCTATCTAACGACATCGGAATCAGAAAATTGTGAGATTTTATTCAAGTAGGACAGACTATGAAAAACTATTAAACATAATGTAATCATGGTGTAATTAACTGATAGAGGAATGAGTCGTAGTTTTTCTAAAGCATAAGTTAACATCAAATCAAATGATAGACTGTCTCAATGAAAAAAGTCGTTATTTAATAAAAATAACTGCTAGACAGTTTTTGATTGAGTATAATATGTGTTAATAAGTTCATGAACATCTGTCAAGTCAGTGAAATTGATCGATACCATGCTGAGAAATCAATTCAATTTGTTTCTAAAATTATCTAATCATTATATCAATATTTATTATTTATGAAGTTTTACACACATAACAGAAATATAACAATAAAACTTGGATTTGTTTTTTTCTGATTATTATATGTGTAACGAAGTTAGAAGTTGATCGATCAGTAGAACGTCAATATGACATACATAAGTGACAGACTTTGTTCATTCTACTCTTATCTTTTTTGTTTGTAACATAGATATATCTATTCTTCTATATACGATGTTAGTTCGCCGACACATCCATTATTTATTTTATTCATTCAGTTACCAACTATTGTTCATTCAACATCGGTTCACACTATAGATATTCTCAGTCTCATCTTTTAATTTATTGAAATTCTTTCTTCTCTTATTTATTATATTATGATTTAAAATCGAAGCAATAGTTAGGTAATAAATTTGTTTTTTATCAGTTCGAACACTGAAAAGAATTTAATAAACAATTTCTTCTGTATAATCTCAAAATATATTTTTAAGTAACAGATTTCTTTCGTTCTTTTCTAAACATTTGATTATACACATATTTCTAGTATTATTTTTAATGCTTCGCGTTTATCTTACTCTATAAAAATCTACAGAAAACTTATTAGTGTTTGTTATTTTGTTTTCATCGAAGCATAATTAAGAGAAAATGCTCAACTATTTATTTTATCGAATTCTAATAGTTCTACGAATGTATATTAAAAAATGTATGTCATAGTATCCCTGATATAGCTTGTAGTAAAATATATTATATATTTTAATTATTTGTGTTACTTTGTAGTTTTAAACATGATACAACGTGGTAAATGTCGTTCTCCATTATATCATCGTTTATTATTATCATTAATTTTATCAATCAGTGCTTCACTCTTATTAATTACTATAACAAATCAACATCAAAATCCTTTTTTATCTATTACTGAGACAAACAATATTGCTGATCGAACAGTTCTGTTTATCCGTACAGCACAGAATTGTCAATCACGCTTAAAATATCTTCTTGAAAGTTGGATACCAAAAGATCTATCAAAACAATCAAATATATATTTAATAACCGATAAAATATTAAATAGTGCAAATGTAACAATATTTAATTCATTTCGAAATGTAATTGAAACAAACTGTCCTTCAACACATGATGGATTTGATTTATGTTGTAAAACAGCACATGAGTTTGATGCATATTATAGTTTAACAAAAATAAATTCAAATGTAGAATGGATGTGTCGTTTTGATGATGATCAATATGTTAATGTTGATAATTTATATAAATATTTATCTCAAATGAACTCTTCTAAACCATATTATATTGGTCGAACAAGTATTAATAAACGTTTAACGACTCCTAAGGATAATCGAACATATACATTTGCGACGTACGGTGCTGGTGTATGTTATTCACATACATTACTTAAACAACTTCGTCCTCATGTTCATGTTAATGTTTTACCTAGACGTTGTGTAAATCGTTCATTATCCGATGATGTTTATATGGGTTATTTAATTGAGCTTATAGTTAATGTATCATTAACACCAGTGAATGATTTATTACATTCACATTTAGAAATACTTGATAAATCATTTCGAAGATATAGTTTAAATGATTTAGCACGTATGATTACATTTGGTTTTGCATGGGATCGATATACATTAGATTGGTTACCAATAATTCATCATTTAATTGAATTTACTAAACAAGATCAATATGAAGCAGCAGATCATTTATGGTTTTTTCTAAGAAATTATGAAAAAGAACATCCTCAAAATTTAACAAATAAATATGATCAATCATGTACATCATATGAACGATTACGAAATAAAACATTGTTATTAAAAAATAAAACAACAATAAAAAAAACTACAAAAAAAATTATAAAATAATATTGCATTTATAATATTTAAATGTATTACATCTATATTTATGATAGTCTGATGTTAATTTTAAATGTTCTATTAATAATAAAAAAAAAATTCTTTTTTTGTTATATATTCTTATTTTATTGTATTATGAAAAAAGTGTCATGTTCAATATTGATACTAATCAGGAAATTATCATGACAGTTATTTAATCTAAAAATAAAAGGGATTTTTTAGGAAATATCAAGTCTAGTTTTCAGCAATTTAACAACCGGAAATCAATCTTTCAGACAATAATTGCTTTTAGACAACGAACTTAGTTTTATAGTGTTGAAAAAAAAAAGAATATGAGAAATAGAAGTTTGCATCCTATTGAAAAATTCAATGTCAATACTTATGTATATTTTCTAGTTGTTAAATAATGAACGAGATATTCAATATGCAGAATAAATTAACTATATATCATAGGATACTTAATCATTAATAACTATTTAGTTGACGATTAATAACTTTTTGTTTAATCTTATTTCCAGATTCGGAATATAAATTACAATTTCTTACGTTTGAAATCATGGTATAATTAAAATTCTTCTATCGGTTGTAGAAAATTTGATTTTCATAGTTTTCTTCTTATTCGATCACTATCAACATTTATTATATGATCAAATGACATTTATTGTCCTTTATTATGCCCTTTTTTTTATAAATAGCAAAATGGCAAATAGCAAATTATTCATATTATACTCAATCCTATTTATTCATTATAAATAGTTTATTATATTTTTTTCTTCTTCATTCAAATAAAGTATACTATCAATGGTTTTGTAGTGGATTAATAAAAAACAAAGAATACATAATCTTCTTAACTTTATATTCGAGCAACAAAAAAATTAATTTATAAACAATCATATATATATATATAGTATTATTCCGATTAGATTAGTAATTTAGAGTGCCTGTCGATCTAGAAAATATGTTTTTTATACCCTATCGATAAATACGGATCAGATATATTATGTTAATAAGTTGACTTTTTTTTTATATTTTTAGGACGAAAAAATCATTAGTTGATCTTTATCATACTATTATATTGAGAGGAAACAGTACATTAGTCGTTTTTCCTAATGTTTGTTATTAATCTTGAAAGAGCAGAACAAAAAAAGAGAGATGTTGGACATGAATATAAAATACTATTTCCATCGATTTATGACATAATAAGAAAATAAACGGGTGCAGTACACAAAATCGATCAATTTCCTTGAATCAACATAACCATTGACAATCAACATGTTATAACTCCAGGTATTCTTTTTTTTTCAATAGAAAAAAAACTATATATATATAAAAATGTATCGCTCTACTCTTCTTATGTTTGGGTATGCGCGCGTATGACCTTTTGTTTATTTTGATGGATTTATAGTTTTTGTGCCTTAGGGGATATCGGAACTTCCGAAATATATATATATATATGCATGCCTATATCGTTAGAAAAGGTTCCTATCAATATAATAAAACAAACATAAGTTCTATAGACTAATTAGTATCTGTTCTCAATTACCTATACATGTTATTATCATTATTAAGTTTGTATTGTAATAAATCATTTATAAAGAAAATAATCTATATACATATAAAATATATTTCAATTGTTTATTAAGACTTGAAATAGTAGACCAAAAAAAAAATCTTATAACAAGTAGCACAGTTATATACTTGAATAAATATAATATCTCGTTGTTTTTTTTTCTGTACAAAAAGAGTATATCATTATCTACTACTATAGCTTCTATCAATGTTATCATTAGTTTTTGAAAAGGGCATAACTGTCATCAGCATGTGCTCATGACGTATAACTAACATATTTTGTCTTGTAAAACATATCTATTCATCTGTATTATATATATGATTAAAGTTTACCATCTTGTTATTATTATGCATCGTTAATATTAATTATTTTCTTGGTATGTTTTTGAAAACAAAATTTTTTTTTTGTGAATATTATTTATAAAATATTCATACTTGAGATATTCAGTTGATCAACAGACGATATTTAAGTATAAAATAGTTTTAACATGATTAATTCTCATGAGATTTATGTTTTTCTCACTATTGTCGTAATAATTGTTTTATCTCGTTCTTTTTTATTCGATTTTCTAATCACGCTTCTAAAATAATTTTCTATGACATTGACCTAAACTTTTGTATTTATTTTTCCATACATATATTATTTATTCGAATTATGTATTATGAATTTGATAGAGATTAGAATCTAACGGTAAGAAAGACAAAAATAAATAAAAGGAACATTATTACAAAGAAAATATGGTTTCGAAGAGGGTGACAGTTGAGATTGGCAAGCAACTCTTTTTTTTTTCTTGAATAATCACTTGAACAATCGAAAGAGATGCAGAACGACATGACTACTCTTAGCATCGATCATTGATGCGCACATACATCTCGAATATCACCCGACGACAATCACTTGAATAAGATAGAAAAAGATGAGAAAAACTGATTTTGCTTCTCTTTTTGCTTCATTGTAACACAGTTCTGTGCCGTGCAAAAAAGAGGATATGAAGCGGAATTATGTCATTCTCGAAATAAAATTACGAGTTGGTTAAGAGCTTCTCCTTCTTCTCCTTCTTCTTCTTGTTCTTCTTCTTCGTTTCCATCATCGATGGATCGTCTCTAGAAAGGATACACGCTCGTTCAATCTTATCAACAACAGCGTGAATGAGCAAATCGTGTGACATTCACTCAATCTTATCAACAACGGCGTGAATGAGCAAATCGTGTGACATTCACTCATCTATCTCTATCTATACTCTAGGGTGAAAAAGAGACAGATACAAAGAGTAAGTGTGTCGAGTTTACAGAAAGAAAATATATATGATGTTATATAAAAAGTCATAAACAGGTTTTGTCAATAATAATATTGCAAAAATAGATTAGAGATACACGTACTAATAGACGCATGAGTTAGTACTAACTAAAACGTGTAAAAAAAAAGAAAGATGTATGCATAACAACACAACACATTACACAAATCAAATTAGAAGACGATCTGATATGTATAAAACATGAAGATTTATTTGGCCTGATATTGTTTTAATAAAAAGAAAATATGGAATATTATCAGATAATAACCTATCATTGTAATCAACCAAAATGATGACATATTGATGTCAAATTCAAGTGCTGCATAATCGAATGATAATATCTTTTTTTTGGCATTTGATTGCATCGTATACTCATTGTTCAATCTTAGGATATTGATCACTATCGATTGAGGTTGCTCTTCTATTAATTTAGAACATTTACCCACGCATATGAATAGAGAAAAAAAGGCAGATATATACTCTCGAGCAATAGTTAAGAGCAATGGCGATGAAGATAGCGATGACGGTTCTAATTTGATTTAGCAAATGCGCCGACACAAGCCTGTGTGTATATTCTCGCTTACTCTCGCTTCTAATCTGTTGGACTGAGAAAATGAATCTCATCTTTTCGCTTAGAAAGCAACGATGATTTCTAATCTTTTTCTCGAATAATGATAAGCGAACGAGAAAGAGAAGTAGCTCAGCGAGTGAGAGGAAGAGAACTGGTGTAATTGTTTAAGTTCATCTAGTGAATTAGATTTTTGATAAGAAAAGAAGAACAAGAAGAAGAAAAGAGAGAAGAACAAAATGGTTACACATACATAATAAAGGAAAAAGACAGAAAAATACGCACATCACTTTTTAGCAGCCGGATGAGAGAAGAGATATACTCTTCACTCTCGTTCGTCTTTGTTGGTCTTTACTCGAACTTTAACACATACGCTCGACAATGATAACTCTATGGCAATGATCAAGTGAGCATTCTCATCATCGCCCACCACTATTCTATTCTCTAACATCTTCTATTAAAAACGATTCAACAAATCACACAATCATAATTATCAACTTAGCAAACATACATTCATGCACAAAATATACAGTGTGAGTCAAATTGAATTTGAGAAAACACCTCTTAATTTTCTTAATCTAAAGATTGATGTACACTGTCTTTTCTATTGGATAGAACGATCTATTATAGATTCCCTAAAGACATGATCTCTAATAGTGATTTTTAAAATCTCTAAGCATGATATCACATGCCAACACGCATATCTTATTTGTATCTGATCCACTTGTTTGATTATAAATTTGGCATCAGCATCAAGAATATCAATGATAAAGGGTCGGCTATGTTTCTCTATAATGATTTTGTCTGTCCAAAGGGGAAAGAGGCGGGAACAAGAGAAGAAAAAAGGATATAAATGTGACATTTGCCGGAAAATCAATTACTAATACTGATAGAATACACATAGTATTAACTAAGAATGAAGAATAGTTATCATGTCATATTTTTATACTGTTGTTATTGTTGTTGATGATGTGATCAATTTTAACAAGAATCGAGATTAGATACTTCAGTAAAGAGAAAAGAACAGTATGAACAACAAAAAAACAATAAACTTCAGAATTGAGAAAGACTTAAAATGTCTACAAGAACAATCAACAGGAAATCATTACATATTGTACATGGTTAAGTGAAAAAGAGAAACACCATGCATCTTGTACAATAGTCTTTTATGACCTAAAAGAGAATCAATAAAAATGTAACGTTTTACATAATTAATCATAAAAAAACGTTTTAGAGTTTTTTAATCATAGTTATATATTGTCTACTCATTAAAATAAAGAATAAATCTTTAATTGAAAAGCTAAAAAAAGAATTTAGTTTTAGCTTCGTCTTTATCCCTTCTCTCCCCCTCTCTCTCTCTCTTTCTCTCTGTTGCTCAATATATGTTTATATATATAAATATATATATATATATATCGGCTCTTTTTCTCGTTGTTGCGCTCGTTTGACTTTGTCGACAAATTGATTGCGATCGTTGTTGAGGCTTCTTCTCTTCATTGCTTCTTTCTCTCTTAGTTCTCACTTGCTCTTACTAGCTATTGTGAATCGTTCCATTTACTCTTGCATTGAACTACACATTTTGCACAAAATTAAGTCTCAGAGTTATCCTTCTTTCAACCATACCATTTAGTTTCCGTAATCTATAGCGCGCAACAACTAATTCTGCTTGACACATACATTACTCGTCGTCAATGAAGATTCTTAACAACTATACTACACTACTTACATTTCTTTCTTTTTTTATTCTAAAGTCGATTTATTAGTCTGCATCGCGTTTTTTTTTCTTTGCTCTATATCTTTATGAAACATTCAATAAGACTTCGAAATGGAAAAGGTTGCCTATTAGTAATAAGTGAGAGGTGAAATATTTCTAAGTACATATGGTAAATAGAAGAAAGAGAGAGAGACAGAGAAAGAGGAAGAGAAAAAGAAGAAAATTAACTTGAAATCAGTTATGACAGTTTTCTATTATTATTATAAACTAAAATAAACATCATAATAGTATCGTTATATGTGTACAAGTAATCATATATATATATATGTGTGTATGTGTGTGTGTGTGTGTGTAAGTAAATCATTAAGACTTTTGGCTATCAGGGATTTGCTTCTTTCTATTCCTTTTCTTTACTAATTCGATCTTAGCTATGACGTATACAAGCTTTTGACAGATCACCAGAAAGCTAAGACGACATGGAACATCACAATTAATTTCTTAGTATTTCACACATTTTCTTTCTTTCACTTGTTGTAACATTCTAATGAAATATGAGGGTGCAACAGTTCTCATCGTCGATGCTTTTCTTAAATATTGTTACGACGATTTTATATAGTAGAACTGAATATGAAAAAACGACAAAACAACAAGCTGTTGTAGAAAAAGAAAAACGCACACGCATATAGCTCGTCTTAGTTACATAGACGGTGCAACGGTGCGCGAACAAATTAGTTAAGAGAGGGAAAGAAGAGAGCATAAGAGAGCACAAGAGAGACAGCGAGAGAAAACGCACAAAAGAGTGAGAGAAAATGTAATTTCTCTATTCATTATAGGGAAAATATAAATATATATATATTTCTCCTCCTTTTACTGTTTTTATGTGATACAAAGACGACGTATGACAATTACTCTCGAGTCACAAATATTAATTTAGGGCAAGTGCAAAGAGAAATTAACTAATTAACAAATTGTTTGTATATATTGATAAATAATTTTCCGATACATTCACAACGATTTTTTCTTCCTTATCTGTTCAGAATCATTGAAGGGATTAAATATGTGAAAATAACGTTAAGAGACGAAGAAAAGAAAAAAAAAATCTGATTGTATAGTATACATATACATTACCACTTATTAGTAATTTCCCTGAGTAAAAAGAATTAGTGTCAAACATTGAGATTTTCTTCTTTATTTATCAAAATCTATTATTTGAATTTTTTTCTTCTTTCTCAAACAATCAAAAATATGAATCTATGTCTTTCGTAACAGGAACAGAAGAATAAACATATAATCTTCTTTTCTTTAATATTTATTTATTTTCTTTTTACATCAAATATATGTTATTCAGGCTTTAAGCAAAAAATATCAGTAGCGTGAGTAAAAGAAATTATTATTAATACATTCATTAGATTGAAAATTTTTATACTAAACAAATAGAAAAGAAACCAGTCATATAACAGGAAGTGTTATAGAACTATAAAAAAGATCTAAAACAAATGTATGTCTTAGAGAATATTGCATTTTTAAGACAACTTGATCTGCTTCATCTGTCTAATGTTTTTTTTTCTCTGACACTAAGATTAAAAAACACAGTCAGGGTTTTTCCGGTCTTTCCTTCTTTTCTATTCATTCAATTACATGCTAAACATTCACTCACACAACCATACAAGCATACATATATATAATATAAGTGTTTAAATTATTTTATTTTAGATGACGATCAGATATCGGCACTGTCACCATCTTACGAATGATAATAAGGTGACTTAACATGGCCATTATCTTTAAATTTATGTTATTTTTATTACTATCAACATTTGAATGTCGTCCTTTGTCGGTCTAACGGGTAACATTCATAGTGATCACAGCCCTGCCATTGCGCATGCGCTGACCAATTTTAGTCGGTCAGAATTTATTCGACCAATATCTTCATCATCATATAATACAAATTGGAGTATATCACATATACCTGGTCCACCATCATTTCTAACATCATCGATTTCCACATCATTATTATCATCATCGTCATCCGTATCAATAACATCATCATTATTAACAACATCAACTAATACAACAAATGATAAATATTATCCATTTTGGTTATTAGTTGTTATTGCAGTATTTGGTGGTGTAACATCTGTATTAACTGTTTTGGGAAATATACTTGTTATACTTGCATTTTTTCTTGATCGACAAATTCGACAACCAACTAATTATTTTATACTTTCATTATCTGTTAGTGATTTTCTTATTGGACTTCTATCAATGCCACTACTTACTATATATATCTATGCTAAAGAATGGCCATTGAACGCAATTATCTGTGACATATGGCTATCATTAGATTATACTGTTTGTCTTACATCAATTTATACGGTGCTGTTCATTACAATCGATCGGTTTTGTTCGGTTAAAATGCCAGCAAAATATCGAAAATGGCGCACAGGAAAAAAAATTAATATTATGATTCTTATTACATGGGCAGGTAAAAATAAAACGAATATATATCAATTTATTTTATTTTCTTAAACTAATCAATATTATCTTTCAGTTCCTTGTCTTATCTTTTTTACATCCACTATGCTTTATCCACGTGTAAAAGGCGTTTCTAATATGCAAAGTGGTGTTTGTATGTATTAGAATTATTTCATCAAAATATTTTCAATATAATTGATATATCTCTATAGGTGATGTTCAATGGAATAAAAATCATGTTTTTAATTTAAGTTTAACTATTGGATATTTTTGGGTAACATTATTTGTCATGATAATTCTGTATATTTTTATATATGGTATTAAATTATAATTTTTCTAAGTGCATTTTATAAAATTGATTTGTTTAGGTGTTGCAAGAAATTTAGAACGGAAATCAAGACAAAATGCACGGAAAATGTCATCACTTGTCGGTACGGCTGGTGAGAGCCATCGAAAATATTCTTTATTTCTTCGTAAATATGATCTTGTTTTTTTCTTCTTCTATTTAGGTAATGCAATGACACATATTGGTATTGGAGTAACGAAATCTCCTTCGAAAACTCCAGTTGATAAACAAAAGAAGGCAGCTTGTAAAGTAGCTGATTCAACAATGTGTGATGATGATGAAGATGAAGATCCTCAAAATTTACTTGCACAGAGTGCAATAAATACTCAAAATAGTAGTAATTCATCTGAACAACGACGTATTGGTGGTGGTGATGATGATAATTCAAATTCATTTGAATCACATTCTGATTTTGATTTAAATAAACCAGCAGACGAACAAACACCTAATGGTGGGAATACACAAGATAAAACATCTCGACAAAATAATCGTCGTGGTATGAGTGTTAATTGGGCAAATAATTCAGCAAATACTACGAATGTATCATCAACAGTAACACATATAAATCCACGTCCTCGTTCAAACCGTGGACAATTAGCTCAAAAACATACTTCAAATGTTAAATTTTTTGCAACAACAATGGCACAATCACTCTATAAAAATCCAATGCGTTTAAGTGGTTTATCATCAGGATCAAAATCCAAAGGAAGTTTAACACCAAATAAAAGTGCACCAACTACGAGTTCAAATCAACAACAAACACCGAATAGATTAGCATCAATACCGTCAGAACCTGAACTTGGATCATATCGAGCATATCCTCCACCTCAACCACGACCAGAATCTTTAGCAATTATGTCAGACGAATTATTTTATGAAAGACTTAAAGCTCGTCAATCACCATCATTAATAGCTTCATCTAATAATCAACCACCACCACCACCACCATCATCATCATCATTAATTGTTGATAATCAAATATCAACAGCTCTTCCTTCAACAGTATCATTACCTTTAGATAGTCATTCGATTGAAGATGTTACGTTTTCATTAACTAATCAATGTGTATCTAATAATTCTAATCAAACATTAATGAATCATATATCATCACAAGAAGAAGAAGAAGAAGAGCAACAACAACCACCACAAGATAAATTACTACAACAAAATTCTATAGAAATTAAAGATAATTCAAATAAAATCTTAATAAAACAACAACAACAGCAAATATCTGTACCTAAAAATACAATTCTTCATAATAATGTTGATTCATCTGATGAAAGTTGGCGTTTAATGAATAGCAATAATAATCTGGATGAACATATACCTTATATTGATGAAACTGATTTTGAAGATTTAGGTAAACAAAAAAACTTCTTTTAGATAAATTAATTTCTAAATAAGAATAAACATTATTATGTTTTTTAATATAATAGAGTATCAAAAGTAAAAGTCATATTTGAATTTAGTTTAGTAAAAAAAAATAAGTATTTTTTTGAACTTTTCTTTTCAGTACTTATCTTTAAATTCAATATGTTAAATTAAAAATCTTTTTAATCTTTTTTTTGCATTTTGAAGAATAACTATATTTCATTCGTTTATTAAGGATATATATTACATCGTCGTCGTGTACCACCAGTAGATTCAAATGAACCAATACATGAAGAAACTATTGTTTATAAATCACCTTTTTATATTAAATGTGAACGACGTTCAAAATCATCAATTGTATCACTTAGTAATAGCAATACAATCAATGATAATGGTATTGATAGAAAAATTTATGAAATTTATGGAAATCATCAAGATGCACATAAAGCGATATTAGAATCACCAATCTATGATAGTGTTGAATTGATAACATATGCATGTAAAAAATCGAATACATCACCAATACGTCATTGTAGTTTACGAAATGTTCCACGTGAAGCTATACTTAAAACAATATCAAAACCAACATCATATCAAACATGTGTAGATACATCAAATGATCAACATACAACATCATCAATTATATTTGTATCAAAAGCTAAAACAACAATATCACCATCATCATCATCAACATCATCATCATCATTATCACGACAACAATTACGAACATCATCATCAATACAAAATGCTGATGTTGAAAGAGCATTAATTGATTTTTATCAATGTAGTCAAATAAATGATAATGATGATGTTTTAGGTAATGATAATGAAAGTACTGAAAGTGATGATTTAGAAATTTCATTATCAAATTATAATGAAATATGTGAAGAAGCATCATCTTTACTTCGTCTTAATGAACAACATTCATCAGCATTTATTGATGATGAATCAAGTATGGATGATTATTCGATAAAAACTAAACAATCACGATCAAGTCGACATTCTCAATCACAAAATAATCATTTTATGAAAATGATGATGCTAAATAAAGCTCGACAAACATTAACAATTGATACAACAAGTGATGAACGAACAACAACAAATAGTTTTAGTTTAAATACTTATAGTCAAGATTTTTCTATTGATAAAATCTATCAATATGATTCATCAACATCATCCTATAGACCACATATATCACAAAATAGTTGGTGTAGTTCATCATCAACAACAACATCATCATCATTTCAAAATCCACAAATGCCATTGTTTTTATTACGTTCATCATCACCTCAAAATTTTCTTTCAGCTACAGAAAAAACACGAAATGCATCATCTGATTCTGATGCTATTACAACAACAACATCATTAACTAATAGTACACAATATGACGGGTAAATTATTTTGAATAGAATTCATATTATTTTATGTTTTTTTTCTTATTTAGACGTGATAGTGATATGCATAAAGATAAATCTCGTGATTCTATAAGTGAAGATGTATTACGTGCATTTAATAAAACAAATGCAACGACAATAACCGATGAAATTGAAATTGAACCACTTGAAAAAAATGATATTTGTACATTAAGAAATAAATTAATTGATAGAGATATTAAATGTTATTCATTATCAGATACAATAACACGTGATCAAGATACATCTGGTTATGGTTCACATGATGATCCATCATCATCAAATAATCGTGCATCATCAAAAGTAACATTTGAAAGTACCATAACACAAAATTCGGCTTCATCATCACCGAAAACAAAAGATCAATCTGTTATGGCACAAATTGATCTCAAAGGACGTTTAAATTATACAACTAATGGTCTTCAAGAACAAATACACGAAACGAATGATAATAAAACTGAACAGATTATACCTATTACAACTGAAAGTTCACTACAAAGTGGAACATTATCTGCTAAATCAAGTGTGAAAGAATTTGTACGAGTTCAAAAACCACCCAATCATAGAAAATCCAAATCACAAAATCGAGCTAGAAAAGCTTTAAGAACTATAACTTTTATTCTTGGTATGTTTTAATTTATTATTTTCTAAGAATTATTAAAATTTTTTATTATTTTTTAGGCGCTTTTGTCGTCTGTTGGACTCCATGGCACATCTATTCTGCAATTCATTCATTATGCGAATCATGTAAACAAAATTGGGTATTTTCTAATCCAATGTTTCATTGTTTTTATTTTCTTTGCTATCTTAATTCTCCAATTAATCCATTTTGCTATGCATTAGCTAATCAACAATTCAAAAAGACATTTACAAGAATTTTAAAATTGGATTTACGTCGTTTATAACAATAATGAAAAAAAAAGAATGTTGTTTTCTTTCTCTTTCTCTCTCTCTCTCCCTTTCACAATTATTTTTAGCTATATCATCCTACTTCTCTTTTTTTTTCTTACATGTTAAATTTGTTTTTGTTCTTATGTAAACTATGCCTAATTTCTTTTTATTTTGTTCATGTTCGTGTGAACCTCTCTTTGCACAGCGATGTTGACATATATTTCTTCTTGTTTAATCGCTCAATAATAGCGAATTATAGAATGAAATAATGATTAATTGAACAGGAAAAGAAAAAAGAATTTATTTTTAATTAAATATGTTTAAACTTTGAGTGAATTGTCATTGAAGAGGATGTGACAGACAGGAAAACAAGTGAAAAGAATTTCTTCTATGTTAATTTAATGAAAAGGAAATCTGCATTCAGTCGATACTAACAGTATTATTTTTGTTCATTCAACTGTTTTTTTTTCTGGAGACTGAATTTTTAAAAAGACATATTTTTTTTGCGTTTCAAAAGTTTTATTTATTTGACAGGATATGAATGCTTTGTTTAAATTCTATCACATAAAATTAGAAGAAAAAAATGTGATTTTAAACTGTCGAAATTGTTTTGTTGATCGTAGATATTCATAATCTTATTAATATATATTTATTGATAATAAATAAACGAAATTATGAATGTAGTGATTATCAGAATGAACGAATGACTATATAATCGATGATGATTAATGAAAAGTTTTATTAAATATAAAAGCAAATCATTTGAGGATAAGAAGAAAATCTTATTTTCCAGTACTATAGACATTTCTTACATAAGTGTATTTATTAAGTAGACTGGAAACTATGTTAGTAATGCGACCTATACAATTACAGAGAAAATTAGTTTACAACTTCAAACAAATGATTTTGATAAGAAATTTTTAAATATCATAAAAACTTTTAATTAATTACTTTAACATATGAAGAATGGTAAATGACTTCTATTATATTAATTTTAATCAAAACTAACTTGTGAAGTGCGTGATCTATTTGGGTTTCATAATGACTTTTGAAAATAAAAAGAAACTTAATTTAAAAATAATAATCATGATTTCTATTCGGTTTATATATGATTCCCAATTGTAATAACTCGAGCAATTTAATACATGAGTATAATCAAACTTGTCAAATGTTTGTTTTGTTTTTATCATTTGGGAACGGCAAAGCAACTGTTTTATGTCATAGAATTATGTTTATTAATAAAATAAGCATTGCAAATAATTTAATGTAAATATTATTCTTATATCTATTTCTTACAACACTATCATTAGGAAATAACGATGATGTTGAAGTTGATATATAGTTATATAATAATGAAATCAAATTTATTATATGGAATGATTAAACTGAAAACGATATGCTGCAGGATAATATTTAATGAACCATAATTAAGCTTTTTTTTTTGAGTTTATGATGCAATTGGCAATTATAAGAATATTTTTAGTTAGGGTGAGTGTAAGTTTACAAAATAATTAGATTTCGTTTCTTTTTTCTTATATTTTATGGAATGAAATAATATCATATTACAGTCAGTTCTATTGGTGAGATGTCTCTAGGATAAATATATAATCGATGAAAAGCTCCGCAGCTTTCTTAGAATCAGAAATCTAATATAGATTATAAAACATCATTGTTGATTCATAAACTTTTAATCGTGTTTCATACAGTGCAAAGAAATAGAGCAGAAAATGTCTGAAATAATATTGTTCCATGGTTTTAATAAGTACACGAAGATTGGCTCTCAATATATTTTATCAAAGGAAATCAATAGCTGTAAAAAAAATCTTTTAGATCAGAGAAAAACAATCAAAGTCATTGTAATTCAATATTCTATTGATTATAATGATTTTATAAATGTAAAAGAATATTGAATAATTTTGTAATGTACTTTATTAACTAAAAAATGTTACATTTATTTGGCGGTACCCGTAGCGAAAGTCTTATTGGTGAATCTTTCTTTTAATGATATAAATAAGCTTGGATTAGAAGAAGTTGAATCTTACCATTTGACAATTGATACATCCATAAACTATTAAGTCATGTTCTACTGTTTACTAAGTTCTGATAGTACCAATTACTTTTTTCGATATTGCTGCAACTAGTTCATCAAATGCACAAAGTTCATCTTTGATCTTGGTATATTTTAATATGCATATATTGATATTTAAAATAATCAAAAAGAAGGGTCTATACTCACTCATTCCTTCACTCGGTAATCTTTATACATATTCGTCAATGTTCACACCACTCACTGTCTAATATTTAAAGCATGATATACATACATTTAAACATAAAAATAGATAAAATAATTAGAATAATTAAGATTAGATATAGATTTAGAGAGAAAAGGAAAATAATAATGAAAGAAATCGAAAGAGAAACGAGATGAGCCCATCCTGAGTACATCTTGGAACACAAGCACCATAACTCCATAAAAAGAAAAATGAAAACAAAAAAAGTTATATATGCATATATTTGTTTTTGTCCAAAATTAATTTAATTTCGAATAAGTTATTAACTAATATTGTTGTCGTACTGTTGTTGTATAAGCAAATGTTGTTGGTAATGATGGATTTCCTTTTGATTGTATATAGTCATTATAATGTAATGTCAATTTTTCACTTCTATATCGTGTTACTTGAACACTTTTTCTCATATCAGATGTTATAGAACCTTTATAACCACCTTTACGTAATAATGAATCAAGTGTTTGAATATGATTCCAACCTTGTTCATATGCAATTTCAGGCAAATATGTTGCTGAACGTTTTGAACCCCGTTCATTAAAAAATTCAATACGTATACCATGAAGACCAATATCCCAATCTGAATAAGATGAACATGGTTCGAAATTTGTTAAAATTGATACAGCACATGATAATAATGGATATTCATCACGTGATATTGGTGAAAATCGACTATCATTAGTTGCTGATGTTAATGCATATTCACGAAGACCTATTTTAGAAAAAACGAGATTTTATAATAATAAATCAATATGATATTTACCATGAGCAAGATTCATTGGTGAAAATGTACCAATACATCCACGTAATTGTTTGTCGGATCCAATAAACCATGTGACAAATAATGGATATGGTTCATCAGGTAGTTTTGGAGGAAGAATATTTGTTGGAATTAATTGATTATTATTTGTTGTTGACGATGATGAACGATGTTTACCATTAAATAAATAATTGCCTAATATTTCAAAGCAATAAAAAATCATATCAGCATGAACAATTGGACGTTTTTGTTGTTGTGGTAAATGATATGAATGATCAAGTTTTTGTTGTTGTTTATTATTATTTTGCATTGTAAATTCATCATCATCATCATCATCTATATCCATTTTTTTTGAATTTTTATGAGAATAATGATTATTATTAGCTGTTGATGATCTTTGTGATGTATCATAGGAATAGGTAAGAGCTGATGATGATGCGGAATTTATTGATGAACGTGAAAGGTCGTGAGGCATTGAAATTGTTTGACGATGATTAAAATGTGAATGTGAACGATAATGATTTGCAGAGGATGATTTCGATTTTAAACTTTGATGTTGATAATCACCATTATGTTTGTCAGAAGAACGTCGATTATTAATAGAATTTGTTATTGAGTGTGATACCTTTTGCTTCTTGCCCCCGCAACATATTGCCATGGAAAATAAACAAAATGAATCACCGGCTGATCAAATACTAAAAAAATAAACAAAAAAACAAAAATTTCGTTTTATTACAAAAAAAACAACAACGAATCATATTTACCGAAATATTGCCCAATTATATATGCTACATATAGATAACAAATTTAAATAAATTGCGAAGAAATATCTTCGGCAAGAAGTATCGGTCACCTGATAGAAAAAAATAAATTGTTTCCTTTTTAAGATAAAATAGATATGACTCACTCAGATAACATTATATTAATTTATTAAATTTTTATTTCTTTTATGTAAATCTATATTTTATTTGAACAAGTATTTTATTTTTCTTTTCCCTTGTTAATCTAGAAATGTAAAAAAAAACATGAGATTTTATTTTTCTTTCTGTCCTGTTATTATTCTAACAGAATAACTTCAAGACTACTACACATTAGATCAAATGGTTCACTATACATCTCAGATATAATTAATCAATCTTAAATTTTTTTCAAGTTTCTTTTTCATGTTGTTAAGAGGTTTAATATTACATTAAATAAAAACAACAATTGAAAATAGAGTGCTTAATAATAAAAAAAAAGAAAAGAAATATTGACAAGTAAGAAGAAAAGAAAGGAAATGGGAAGAAGGTCTGAAAAAAGTACTTTAATTCTCAATAGACTGTATGAAAAAAAGATTTTATTTAAAATTTTTTCAAGTTAATAATGCATAATAAACTTTACTAAGATATAAATTTATGACATTATTTTAATAAATTTTACGGTTAAAAAAAATAATAAAGAGGAAAACAACCATAGAGTCGATTGGATGAATATTGATATATTATGGACTCGAAAGATGTTTAGATATTTTTCAAAAGATGGCATTGATAGATAGAATTTATATGCTATATATAAAAGCAGGGGTGGCGCGACCGGAAGGGGGGAGGTCGGGAGTGTAACACCCTCAAACTCTTGAAATTTCTATTTTTTGCTCAACAAAATTTGACAATCTTCTTAGGTTTTTTACCAATGATAATGCTACACTCCCCCATGTTGGCTGACTCGCGCCATCCTTGTATAATAAATTATTCAGTTTGATGTGATAATAAAAGATTCATATATTTTTATGTTTAATGCGGTAAAAAATAGAATTGAATTATTTCAGAATTTCGCTTTCTTATCTTGTCATTTTTATTCACATGTTGTTATGAATAATCGTTTCATATGTCAAATTTTGTTTTTAATATATAGATATATATCATCTAGACTCACTTATGATCGTAAAATATCAATAGTATTTATCAAAAGCTTTTTTTTTGTATCTGAATTTCGATTATATTTAAGATATCTAGTGATTTGTCTGAGTTTGTTCTTTGATAGAAAAAAAAGAAATCAATAAAAAACGGAACGATTGATTAACAAACCTAATAAAAGACTTATTGAAAACATTTTTTTCCGGTTTGGTATTTTTCTTTTAAAGATTAGTTAAATTTCATACTTCTCTTTCTTCATTTTTTTTAATCGGATCTTTGTGACATAAACACATACACAAATATAAATATCAACTTCTTTCGTCAATCACTAGCCGTCATAGTCGGTTAATAAATGTGTGACGTCAATAATAAAAAAAAAAAAAGAAGACGAAGAAGAAGAAATTCTAAAGAAAGAAAATGCAACAGAATATAATTTTTATCGAAGAAAAAAAAATGGGTAACCGAAGCAATGTGTATAGGAGAGTAGCATTGAATTTTCTTTTTTTCCTTATAATCGCTCATTTTTCTACTATGTCTGTCTGTCTAACATTCTACCGATCGTTAAACTATTAATTGTTTCACATCATTCAATTTTATAATAGTCACCCAACTACTATCGCGACATTCATTTTCTTTAAGGTACTTTTCCCAATAACTACTAGTTTATCTTTACTTATTATATTTTCCGAGAGAATATGGCCAAAAGAAAATAAAGTAAGAAGAAAAAAGAAAAGTTCTTTGACGGGAAAAAGAAAGAATAAAAAAAGGTTACTATAGACTTACTAACTATTACAAACATAGATGAAATATAAAGTTTTTCATCTTCAATCGAGATGCGTCCGTTTCTATTTATATTAACTCGACGTTTGTTCATACCTTCTGGTATTCTAACTTTTAGTACCGTTGGTGGATCTTATTCGAATATTAATGAACAGAAACATCATTCAATATTGAAATCTATCAATCGTCCGTTTTCCGATCTATTGATGGGAAACAAAGGTTAGTTTATTTACAATCTTGTTTCCTCTGTTTTTTCTTCTCTATGAATATTTAATTATATTTTTAGAATCATCCGCATCACCGCCACCATTCAGTTATGATCCATTTGATTCTTTAAGAAAGAATAATTTTTCTAATGAAGAATTTGAAAGATGTTTTAAATATTTCGATTCCCATAAGTATATATTTAATAATAATAATAATAATATAATCATATACATGATTTGTATTTTTAGTCAAGGATGTTGGAGTCGAGAAGATTTTCGTCGTTTTCTCAATGCACTTTTTTCAAATAAAAAACGATCTTATTGTATATTGAATGATTTAGTTGAACAATACTTTCGTGAAACTGATTTTAATCAAGTGATTCAATTCATTTCTTTAATAAATTAATTATTTTGTTGATGTTTAGGATGAAAAAATTGATTATGATGAATTTATTCAAGCATGGAAAAAAACTATAAAATGTGTAAATATATTTTTATTTCTTTTTTTTGCGTTACACATATTTTTATACAAATCTTTTCAAGGCTGTTAAACCTGTTAGTGCACTAGTTGTCGTTGATGTTCAAAATGATTTTATATCTGGATCTTTAGCACTTCATTCATGTCCTGCTGAACATCGAGGTAATGAGAAATTTTAGAAAAATTATTTTCATAAATATTATTTTAGGCGAAGAAGTTGTTCCTATAATTAATCGAGTTCTTCTTAATGTTAATTTTGATGTTGTTGCATATACATATGATTGGCATCCGTTAAATCATATATCATTTTATGAAAATCGTCATTTAAGAAAAACAGCGCCGGAAAGTCCTGTATGAAAAGAAAAACAATATTTTAACAATAGAAAATATTTTGTTTTTGTTATTAGGTGAGTGCTGAACAAGCAAATGTACTTGATACAGTTATATTTATTGGATCTTTGGATCTTGCTAAACGTATTGAACAAGTTCTTTGGCCAGCTCATTGTATACAAAAAACTCCTGGTGCTGATTTGCATCGTGATTTAGTTCGTGTTGATAATGCTATACATGTTTATAAAGGAACCAATCCTGAAATTGATTCATATTCAGCATTTTGGGATAATATGAAGTTAAGTAAAACAAGTCTTGATGCAGAATTAAGAGAACGTTTTGTAACTGATGTTTATGTTGTTGGTTTGGCTACTGATGTTTGTGTTGGTAAGTTTATCTATTGGAAAACTAAAATCTGAATAGAATTTCTTTTTTTAGCATCAACGGCAATGCATGCAGTAGAACATAATTATCGAACTGCATTGATTGAAGATGCATGTCGTGGTGTTAATGAAAAAGAAATCGAAGTAAAACGAGCACAATTGAATGAAACTGGTTGTATTTTTGTCGATTCTAATGTTGTACGTAGAACATGATCGTTTTTTTTCTTTCAAAAATAATTCTCGAAATAAAATAGGTACCCGGAATGATATCTGGTGAAGACCGTCGACCGGAAATGGCACGTGGAATGTTTATTGAAAATCTTAAAGAAATTGGTCGTTATAAATCTCAATAAAATTTCCCATTTAAAAAACAAAAAAGAAAAAGACAAATTCTAAAGTGCCTAGTTTCAATATTGATTTCTTCGTTTTCTTTTTCTCTGTTTTTTTTTCTGAACGTTTCTTTTACCTTCGTATATGCACTCAGTGATGTCGATAGTCAATATACCAACGCAATTCATAATTCCTCGCTGTTTTTTTTTACATGTCATAAATATGTCAAACTTTGCTAATTGCATATTGCACGTGCACAAACTTTTATCTTCTTAAAACAACATACACATGCACTTAATACATACACAAATACTTATATATATATATATTAAACCAAAATAGAGTAAATGAGCAACTTTTCATTTTATTTTTTTGATATGGATGTTCTCCCTATTTTCCTTTTTCTTTTTATTGTGCACACATCTTGGTGTATGAATTTTTTGAAAATAAAATTCTTGCAAAAGAAAAAATCCAATATTGTTATGTATATATGAAGTGCAACTCTCATTATGAAAAAAAAAACTCGTAGTAGTGACAATCTTCGTACTGAATGTCAAATAAATATGTCTGGATGGATAAATTTGATGAAAATATCATCAACAATATTTTCTTACTTTATTGTCAAAAAGAAAGGGTGTAGGTTGGAATGTAATCAACAGTTGCGTGTACATACATACATACACGCCCAATCACATGATTCCATATAAGGTTTCAATTCAAATATTCTATTCTGTAGTAGAACGTGAAAAATAAACAAAACATATCTAATAATAGACAAAAAATTGTAGGTAGTGAAAGATATTTCAGTATAAATCACGATGGAAATAGATAAACACTAATAATCGTTTTTACATCAATAAATATATGCAGAGTTTTTATCTTGTTTATGATCCACATTTTATGAATATTAGATTTCAACATTGTCAATAGTACTTTTTGAAAGATTTTATATGCAGTTACTAATGTGTCATGTGACGATGTAGAATTTGTTGTTGTGTAATTACGTGTATTCATATATCTTCAAAGAATAAATATGAATCACATGAGAAAAGAAAATACCATTGAGGGTGTTTTTCTTTCAATATATTCACGATTTCCTGATAAAAACAAAAATGTTTGTACAAGAGATCCTTCCAGTGTTACTATGTTTTTTTTTAAAAAAATATTATTTTATTTCGATTTTTTTGTACTATTTTAGGGTAAAAATATGTACAAAATTTTTTTATTGGTTGTCATGTTTATTATGACCTTCTTACAATATTCCGCGATATAAATTATGCACTATAACTTATTCTGGTTACCAGTTCAACTGTAGTTGATGGTCTTCCCTAGCTAAAATTTTTTATTTATACTTTGTCTTTTTTTTATTACGATTTCTCAGGGAGGGAAGAAATAAATAGAATTTTTCCAGTCAAGGTTATTTTTCGAGTAGCAGCTAAAAGGATCAAAATAGATCGATTGATTCATTTTTCTGGGTAAATTTCTGAGTGTAGGTGTGTGTTATGTCCGTATTTAAATCGATAGACAGTTGTTAATGATCTACTTTTAACAAAAAAGAACAACGCTATTCTCTTATTTCAAATACAATACGTTATTTTACATCACACTCTCCAATACAAATAGTATTTCTTTTAATATAAATTTCTTCTTTTTCTTTTACTCGAATTTTCTTTTTCTCTTTCTCATTCATTCAGAAGTTTTTTGCTCTCTTAGAATATTCTAACAGTTGAAAATCCATTAATTGCACCTGTCATTCTGTTACTACATCAAATATTGAAAATATGTCTGCAGCTCGAACGTCGGAACGTAGTACTATATCGTTACCTACTAGTCCACAAAAAACTTATAAAACTCCAGCACGACTTGGAACAGAATATGAAGAAGAAGATAAAAATTTAGTAAAAAGTTTAGTATTAGGCTCAGCATCTCTAAAACGACAATCAGATTTAAATCGAAAATCTCATATATCTAAAAGTTCTTCATCGACAATTTCATCATTAGTTTCTCAATCACATGGATTACTATCGAGAGGACGAGCAAATACTGATACTCAAACAGTTGTAACTTCAACAAGTGGACTTAAACAACAATCAGCAAATGCATCAGGAATTGATAGAATTATGGGTCATTATAATCAACAACATCAACAACAATCAGCCTCATTAAAACCTAAATGTACACTACCCGCATCAAAATGTCAATCAGGATACATTACAGCATCGAAATTATTTAACATGATGGGTTATGGATTGCAAAATCAATATTTATTTATGCATGCGCATTATCTCTATATCATCGATTGTCGATCACGAGAAGAATTCGATGGTGATCATATTCTTACGGGTAAAACCACATTATTTTACTTATCGCGTTAGAAAACAATAATCATTTATAATTCTTTTTATTAGAAGAAAGAGTACATAGTATAAAATGCATTTGATAATAAATGTTAGATATCTCATTGAAAAACATATATAAATCATTATTCTTATCAGTTTTTCAAAAAAAAATTAGCCTATAGTTTCTTTTTCTTTTGCGATACATTTAAATACAATGTTCTTATTTTTCTGACAAAAAATACTTACATAATTAAATTTTTCTATGGTTCATTGTCTTTTTTTACTCTTTCATACTTGAAAAAAATGATTAATCGTATAGTTTAGTAATGAGAAAAACATCAACTGACCGACTTTTTGTTCGGAGGATTCATTTCCGATTGAAGTACAAAATATACTATAAGAAATGTCAAGATAATAAGATTTTTTTTCCATGTAAGAATTCAACGCATCACTTTAATACATTTTTTGTGTACACTTTATTAAAATAATGTTAAGAAAACTTTAAACTGTGAGAACAATTAAACTTTTACCTATTTTTAGCCTATTAAGTAAAAACATTAAAATAGGGACATGTATTTATTATTCACGGTCAAACTATCACATGGAAAAATTTGTGTGATGCCTTTTGTTAAGTACTTGAAAAGAAAAATTTACTTAAAAAAAATAAACTTGACTAAATATAGAATATTTATTTTAGCTATTCATTGGGAAGATGCATTAAATGGTACTGTGTATATATCACTTGTTGAACGATTTAGTGAAATAGTATTATATGATGAAAAAGGTATTGCCTCTAATATGTCAACAGAAATGCGACAAATTAGTAATCGTTTTTCACCACCTGGCTCAAGGCCATGTGTAATATTAGCTGGTGGCTTTGAAACATTTCATACATTATATCCATTTAATTGTACTCAGAACAATGTACGTTCAACTGTTGATCGTGAAAAATTCCTTACAATTTATCCATCTGTTGTTCTTGATAATCAACTTTATCTTGGTAAAAAACTTTTTATTATTAAATTAAAAAATTGTTATATTTAATTCATAACTTTTGCTAGGTACTGGTCATCAAGCAACAAACTGGAAAGTTGTACGTGATCTTCAATTAACACACATTATAAATATATCCATTGAACATCAATGTGTATTTCCTGATAAAATAAAATATTTACATTTGGAATTAGAAGATAAAGAAGATGTTTTATTAAAAGATCGTTTTGATGAAACTATACGTTTTATGGACACTGCGCTTCAAAATCCATCAAATCGTATACTTGTTCATTGTAATTTGGGTATATCAAGATCAACAACATTAATTCTCGCTTATCTAATGAAAACATATAATGCTACTTTATATGAAGCATTTCGATATTTAAGACATCGTAGACCCATTATTTGTCCAAATTGGGGTTTTCTTCGACAATTACTTGACTATGAAAATCATTTATTTTCTTACGTTTATACTGATCCTAAGGATCCAATATTTTATTGAAAATCTTATTTTTAAGAAAGACTCAAGCAAAATCTTTTTGATAATTGAAAAATAAATTTCATCATGTTGTTTATGACTGATGCTTTTATAGATTTTTTTTTGTTTTATTTTTTATAAATAAAGAAGTCGTTAGTTGACTAAACAAAATTGATCAGAATACAAATATTAGCAAGCTATTTTTTTTACATATTCAGATATGATACTGATTTCTTTGATTTTAAAGTAGACAAATTGTTTAGTAAGAAGTACGCAGAAATTTATAATAGGAATCCGTTTGTAATGCATATTCATTTGTTCTTGCATCTTGAGGGTGTGGGTGTGAGTGCGAGTGCGAGTGTGGGTGAGAGTGCAGCTGTGGGTGGGTGTGGGTATCAATCTTCTCTTAACTGACACCCACACCCACACCCACACCCACACCCACACCTATCCTCACCCTCAAGATGATGTGGATGTCGGTTAAGGGAAGATTAATACCCACACCCTTGCTCACTATGTGCTAAGTAGTTTGGTGATCAAAAGCACACTTTTCCTTGTTTTCTATTCTTTTGCTTAATTGAAGTAAACTATTATTGCATCTTCTAGATTGTACATCAAAACATGGTAATGTGTATTGATCAGTATTAAGATATAGTAGATAAAACATTGATTGAAAATGTTTATTTATGATTTTTCAATAGGAGTTTACAAACTTGCGATTATTCATAGTTTTAATTTCGTTTGTCTGTTGACTGTCATATATGTGTCATTTCTGACACTTCAAAACTATTTCGTCTTTCATAAACTTTTCTATTTCTTCTGTAGATCTTATACTACATTGTTTACTTTTTGTTTATTTTTAATGGTATATCTAATGTTTGATTAGTAATTCTATTGTATTATTCAGAATGCGTCAACAGTTGCGCAATTTTTAATAAGTGGAATTTAGGATTTCATAAACTCATTTATTTTTTCTATTACTAATTGTTTGTGAAATATGTAATATATTCTTGTAAGAATCATATTTGAATCATAATGGGAAAGAAAAGATGCCCTTCGTGGGGCTCGAACCCACACCTTCTGCTATTCGGACAGATGTTCTAATCCAATTAGACTAGAAAAACTATTTGATTCTCCGTTTAGCATCGGTATCTATCATCACCGACGCTAGCAATACTCTATCAGATTCTATAACATGATAGTAATTCTACCTAGTTATTCCTAAAGTCTGCTGTGTCATAAATCAATATAAGTGAACATAGGGTTTTGTTATTGTTTGAATATGTCAAATGAAACTTAAGCATTGTTTTCATCTATTAAATTATTTCTCGTAAATGTATCATGATTTGATACAAGTTGATCTTCTATCCTATTATCGTGATCTATAATAGAGAATAAAAACAATATTACGAAAAATTCATTCATATTTTAATTCTATATTAAAATAAAGCGCGTTAATTGAATATGCCACTATTTATAAATGATCTCTTTATTTACAAAGAAAAATAGAATGGAATTTTAATAAAACAATAATTGATAATGATTAAACAAAATAATGAAACTAGATTTTCAGTCGATGGTCAATCTCCTCCATGTCGTTTGTCTAATCAATCGTGTTCATTTATTTATCAATTACCAGATGTTGTTCTACAACGAAAACGAAATCAAAAAATGCCATATGCTGAAACATTTCATGGAATTATACTTTTTGCTGATGTATCAGGTTTTACAGAAATGTGTCAAAAATATAGTAGTGATGTTCAACGCGGAGTTAATCAACTGGCAAATGCCTTAAATGGTTATATGGCACCTATTGTTGAAGCTATATTAAAAGAAAAAGGAGATGTTTATAAATTTGCTGGTGATGCTGTACTTGGTAGATAGAAATTAAATTTTTAAAAATAATAAAAGAAGAATTTTCTTCGTAGGTTTATGGCCATTTGAAAATAATTCTATTGAACATCAACGTGAACAAGCTAAAAGAGTTATATCATGTGCTTTATATATGAAAAAATCATTTTGTAATTATATGACACCAATAGGAACAATTTTAAATATAAAAAGTGCTATTGCATTGGGTTCTTATTCAATTATATTTCTTCGTGTTAGATTGTTTTGTTTTTAATTTTTATTATTTAGAAATTTTGTATTTTAGGGAACAACCCCAGCTTGTTCAAAAATTCTTGATGAATATGAAATAAAAATGCAATCATCAATAGGAAATGTAAATTTTCCTTCTCAAACAACAAAAATAGCCAATTCAACGAATTATATTAGTAAAACAGGATTAAATCAAGAAACAATTGAACATTGTAAAACTAATCTTATTAACTACTATGTTTGTTATGGTAGTGCCGTTGTTAGTGTTAGAAATGCTGAACGTAGGATTATTTATTAAATTTATTACATAAAATTCTTTATTTATCTAGATCAGTGTAAATCTCAAGATGTTATTGTAGATATGGCAACGTGGTTATTACTTGATTCAGATTCAGTAAGAATAACGAGGAAACTGATTATTTGCTTTTGATTCCAGACCCTGCGCATAAAGTAGACCACCAGTGAAGTTAGATAAAAACAATTCATTTTAGGAATATATTCACGAAAAATTTACTGCTGAACATACTCATGAAGATGATGAAGTTTTATCACGTTCTTCTAATCATCAACATGAAATAATTGGTCAAGGTCTATCAAATACACTAACAGCAACAATTAGTAAACGTCTTACACCACCAAATAAAAATCGTGAAATTCTTTCAATACGAAAAATAATTTCTCACTGTAAGAAATGATGATCGAAAGAAAATATATTCCCAATAAATAAATCTATTTGAAAAGATATTCGACTTCATGGTCGTCGAAATGATATATTACCAGAGAAGGATTCTCCTGATAATCATTCAGTAATGTCTGCTGATTCAATTGAATTAAATAGTAGTAATGAAATATTTAAAAAACCTACAACATTACATCAATACAATCCTATAAAAGATTTAATTAACAAACAGAATACATTAAAAACTTCAATATTAGAAATAGGTAGTACAGATGTTAAAGATCTTTTATCAGTTTTACCAGCAACAATTAAAAAACAAGGACGAATGGTAAAAATAAATTCTTGTGTATTTTGTTTTAATCTAATTTTTCATAATATAGATAAGAAGAAATGATTTAACGGAAGAACAATCAATAAAACTTCGTCCGAGTGCATTTTTAAATGTTGAACAATATGATACATTTGATTTAAGTACATTTATTATAAAACCTATACGTAATCAAGAATCTCTTGAACAATTATCTGAACTTCGTCTTATCAATATTTGTTTTATAAATATTATTTTAACTGATTATAAAATTAAACAATTACCATTTAAATTACAAACAGTTGTTGATTGTTGTGCTGAACAAATTTCAATAACAAATGGTTTATTAATAAAAGTTTTTATGTTTGATAAAGGTCTTAGTCTTTTATGTGCTTTTGGTATGCCTGGATACAAACATTCAGATGGTTTGTTATTTATTTGAACAAAAAAAAAATATTTAAAAAATATAAATATCATTTTAAGATGCAGAACGAGCATTAAAATTTGGTTTTCTTATTACCCAAAGATTAGGTAAAATGTAAAATTAGCATAGCAAGTGAATATAATTCTATCGTATAGAAAAATTCAATTTTGTAGCAAGAGTTAGTGCTGGAGTTTCTACAGGACAAACATTTTGTGTAAGTGTTAAAATAATTTTGAAATTTACATAGAGATGCTATAATATATTATTATAGGGTGTGTTAGGACATCCACTTCGATGTGAATATACTGTTATCGGTAGAAAAGTGAATATGGTTAGTTTTCACATACACTTTATTATATATATAATTTAATATTAAATTGATTTAGGCTGCTCGTTTAATGGTTAATTATCCTGGTATAGTATCATGTGATGATGAAACTTATCATAAAGCTCATCTTGAAGAACGTTATTTTGAACTCCTTCCAACAGTACCATTAAAAGGTCTTACTGTATCGACAAGTATGCGTCGTTATAAAGGACAAGATGATGGTTATTATTATTTTTGTTATTTAATTATCATGAATTTTATTTTGAAAAATTCTATTAGATCAAAATAATATGAGTGTATTTGTATTTCCAATGATAAATCGTGAAGATGAATGGAATACAATATTAGAATATCTTGAACAAGTTATTAAACATTGTTGTACAACAATCTATTGTATATTTTTAACTGGTTCAACAGGTGTTGGTCGTTCACGTTTACTTGCACATGTAAATGAAGAATTAATGTATGATACACAAAATATACGTCGTGTTTCATATAATGCTAGTTTTGAACATGTACAATTATTTGGTTATACACTTAAACAATTATTTAAAAAATTATTATATACAGAATTATATGAATCTGATGCATTGTTAAAAGTATTAAAATCACTTTTACCCAGTTAGTTCAGTTGATATTTTCGCTTTTTACAAATAATAAATTTATTCTAGATCATGAAAAATATTTATATTTATTAAGACCTTATTTTGATAAACTTAATGTTGATATTGATAAGTTAAATAATAAATTAAAAAGAAAAATACTTGAAGAAATTCTTCATGAACTTATTATGAATGCAACTAATCCAACTTATGAAATATTTAATTATCAATCACAACCAACAATTTTTATTATTGATGATGCGCAATACATCGATAGAGAATCTTGGCAATATCTACATCTCCTTGGTTTTAAAATTATTTTTGCATTAAATGAACTAAATTTTTCGTTTAGGTTCAGCTCCAACATCACTTGTTATTATGGCAATGAGAGATCCAACATTACATGATGATGAACTTCATACATCTATGATTACTCTTCGAGATTCAATAACAACAAAACATATTCAACTTATCGGTTTAGATAATCGTTATTTATCTACACTTGCATGTCAAGCAATGTTTGTACAACGAATACCAAAAGATCTTGAAATATTAATTACACGAAAATCTGATAAGTTAATATTTAAATTTTACTTTCTTTCTGAATTAAATAAAATTTTATTAGAGGTCATCCACAAAATGTTGTTCAATTATTATCAGATTTATTATCAAATCAAATTATAAGAATTGAAACAATTACGAATGATGATAATTTAAATGATGGATATATTGAAGGTATACAAAAATATTTATGGAAACGTGTTGCACAACATGATCCATCAACAGGAAATGTTAAAATCATATTTGAATATGTTGAACCACAATTATGTCGAATATGTGATCCTGATAGAAATAAATTTTGGACGTATACAACTGTTATTGAAAATATTGATGCTCATGTTAAAATTGATAAATTAAGAGATTTTGAAAAACGTATTGCTAAAATAAGTTCATTATTTACGAAAAATATATCTAAAAGGTATTGCATTTAATTAAAAATATTATGGTCACGATTTATATTTAGAATTATTGTTCACGCAATTACAAATTATGATATATATACAAACGATATATTATCAGTACATCAACATCAATTAAATAATAATAAACATCATACACATGGGTTAAATGCAGATTTATTAAAAGTAATAAAAAAATATAGATAAAGATGATGTTTAATAAAATGAATCTTTGATTCTGATATGTTCATTATTTAAAGATTAACAGTGCTTTTTCTCAATTGTACCGTGCACAAATATTCGTATGTGCTTGGCTTGATTTTGAAGCACGAAGAAATCCTACTATAGCGAGATTATTACAAGAAAAAAAGTAAAAGTTTTTAATGTATTTCTGTTTTATTAATTATTTATTTTTTAAGTATGACACCTATATGTTATTGCCCAGAAAATACAACAAAACAAATAGAAAATTGTCGTATGTATACTTTTAAAGATCCAACATTAAAGGAAGCAACGCTTGCAACAATAATTGATCAATTTCAACATGATTATTCATCAAAAATGGCATTGTTTATTGAATCAAAAATTCATCTATGTAAATCTTGTGGTGGTGATTCAGATTCTTTAATTTTTTTAACACCTGTACAAAGTATGAAATTAGGAATGTCGATATTAGATACATTTCATGAAAGAAAATTAAAACAATTAAATCAGCGTTTACAAAATATGATTCTAAATCATTTTTCTGTTTCGCAAACACAATCTACATCAAATAATCAAGATGATGATCAGCATCAAATATCAGATAGAAAATCATTATTAGATGAGAAAAATTTAATACAAATTTTTTATCAAAATTTTTATCAACAAGATTTCAATGATAAAGAAAAATATTTTCAAGAATTACGAAATAAAATAAAACAAGTTAATTTTCTTACGAAGAATAATAGACAATCAACATCATTTAATCCTATAGGTAAAATAGACAAGCTTATTTTGTAAAGATCGATATTTATTGCGATGCGAAGTCAAGCATTTATGTAGCCCTGCGTGAGTTTGCTTCCTTTTTCTTTACTTTCTCAACGTACGCATTAATAGTGGTCGTTGTGTGTTACGATGACCTTAGGAGCGAAACATTAGATAAATATAGCATGATCGAACCGGTATCATTCGTTTACAGGAAGTGTCGCAAAAACAAAATTTTCATTGTCATTTCAACAATTATCCATATGACCATTTCATGTACAGCAAACGAATTACCTGCCTTTCTTTCATTAGTATGCTATAACACTACCTCAGCATTATCATAAGATTTCAATTAACATTTCCAATTTTTTGTACATATACTAGTTTCACAGATAACAAATTCGTAAAAATTGGGTGAGTTTATATCACTTCGTTATAGAGATATGGACGAAAGAAAACGACAAATATGTTTGTTGATCAATCTTGGCATCTATTATAGTTCTGCAGAAACTGTAATTTTTAAGCGCACCATCATTCCTTACAATAAATACCAAATATGCTAAGCAAACATTAATAACACAATATACATATTACGTTTCAAAAAAGCAATTTTATTTATTGCTTTAATCACAAAGTCATCACCCAAAAAAAATTCGTATGGTTATCACCAGCGATTTCTTCACCATCCAAATACATTCAATAGTGCCACTCACGGTTTTCTTCGTTCCTCGTTTCGTTCAAGTAGTTCTTTGATTACATTTATCGTATCATCACCTATCAGATTTTCCGAAACGTCTAGTTCGGTGAGTGTCTATATGGAGAAATGGAAGTATAGATAACGTATAGATAAAGAGCGAATGACAATTACAGTGTTGTGTTGTAATGCATAAGCTAAATATTGCGCTCCAATATCTGCGATTTGATTCACCGCGAGATGTAGACTGGTGAGTGCCTAGATGATAAAGTGTAGGTAAAGGCATAGTATAGATAAAGAGAGAATGACAATCACGGTATTTTGTTGTAATGCGTCAGCTAAATATTGTGCTCCAACATCTCCGATTCGATTAAATCGGAGCTCTAGACTGGTGAGTACCTAGATTAAGAAGTGAAAGTAAAGACATGGTATACATAAAAAGAAAATGGCAATCACGGTATCTTGTTGTAATGCATAAGCTAAATATTTTGCTCCAACATCTCCGATTTCATTCATCGAGAGATCTAGAATGGTGAGTGCCTATATGTTAAAGTGGAGGTAAAGACATAGTATAGATAAAGAGAGAATGACAATTACGGTATTGCGTTGTAGTGCATGAGCCAAATGTTTTGCTCCAACATCTCCGATTTCATTTGTCGAGAGATCTAGAATGGTAAGTGTCTAGATTAAGAAGTGGAACTAAAGGTATGATATAGACAAAAAGAGGATGAGTGCTACTGTGTTGTATTGTAATACATGAGACAAATGTTTTGCTCCAACATCTTCGATTTCATTTATCGAGAGATCTAGAATGGTGAGTGCCTAGATGATAAAGTGGAGGTAAAGACATAGTATAGATAAAGAGAAAATGGCAATCACGGTATTTTGTTGTAATGCATCAGCTAGATATTGTGCTCCAATATCTCCTATTCCATTTCGCGAGAGACCTAGACTGATGAGTGTCTAGATGATAAACTGGAGGTAAGGACATGATATAGATAAAGACAGAATGTGAGTTACTGTATTATATTGTAATGCATCAGCAAAATGTTTTGCTCCAACATCTCTGATTCCATAAAATACATAGGTTTCATTATATCCAAAATTAAGTGTAGTGAGTGTCTAGATAAAATAAGTGAACGCCAAGATATGTTTCAGATAAAAAAGAATGATAATTACGGTATTGTGTTGTAATGCATCAGCGAAATAGTGTGCTCCAGTATCTCCGATATGATTGTGCCAGAGATCTAGACTGATGAGTGTCTAGATAAAAGAAGTGGAGCTAAAGATATGGTATAGACAAAGAGAGAATGACAGTTACAGTATTGTATTGCAATGCATGAGCCAAATGTTTTGCTCCAACATCTCCGATTTTATGATGTTGGAGACTTAGATGAGTGAGCGTCTAGATGAAGGGGTGAAGGTAAATACATGGTATGGACAAAAAGAGAATGACAATTACGGTATTGTGTTGTAATGCATGAGCCAAATGTTTTGCTTCAACATCTCCGATTTTATTATTGGAGAAATCTAGATCGGTGAGTGTCTAGATAAAAAGTGGAGGTAAAGAAATGGCACAGATGAGAAAACAGAATACTTCATCAGTTTTAAATGAGGTTAGAGCAGCAAATCGAATGTTATCCTGACTAGATCCTATGGTCTATGGATATGTATAAGAATATTTAGAGGATTTTATTTACTGCATAGTGTACGATGATGGTTTCTCAAAATTTAGAATGAAAAGTTACCAACGATGAAGTAGGGTAAGCAACGTTTCATGTGTCAACTGCTGTAGTTTCTGAATTTTTGGAAAATAGGGAAAAAATTTTGGTTAATGGAAAGTAGTTTGTAAGTTAATTCTTTGCTAAACAATCGTGTAACGTAGTATTGTGTGCCTAAAGGATAATGTATTGCAGTGAATAGCTCACAACGTAATGGAATGTGATGCAATCCTTGTTAGTATTCAGTAGGTATGTCAAAAGATAGTTTTTTTCCCGCAGTTAGTGGACGGTTTTCTCTGATATTTATTGTTCAGATTTTCATATTGTCATAATAGAAAAAAATCAATCTTTGGCAAGAAATTAATAACTGATGAATTAGCTTTGGTGGTAAACAGTTTATTTCTACATTTTTTTATTTAAGTCATTCTACTTCATTAGAGATTGTAAGAGTGAAAAATAATTGAAAAGTCAATAGATTAAAATTAGATCTACGTGGTAGAAAGTGGTTTACCTGACATCGATCGTAGCTGTCTATGATGCTGTCGAGCCGCTGACATACATTTCTCATTGACCAGAAAATGGTGTAATTTGATTGAAAATCTAAAATGCGGTAGACAAGTTCTACCGGTAATGTAAGAAAGTTGGTTGAATTTGGATTTTCCATTATAAAGTTAGTGGAATCTCGATTTCTCTTTGTACAACCGGTGCAATTTAGATTTTCCATTGTAAACTGTTAACAAAATGCGTGCTGTTTAGACTTATATGTTGACTATATATATATATATTGTTCTCTATCTTATCATTAGATGAGTGGACATTTTTTTTGTTTCATAGATTTCACATGATGTTGTAATTACTTGTTGGAAGAAAAAGACGAAAAAAAACGTTATCAACTAATAAAGAACAGAATCGAGATAACAACTGTAAGCAACGTTTTTTGTTCAGATTGCTTTACCGATATAAACTAGAAGGTATTCCAGTTGTACTCGACTACGAAATGCGATGCGACACCAGAATTTCGAAATAACGATTTTAAGATTTTCACAAAATTATCTAGATGATTCATTATCTATTATCAGCTGCATTGTCAGCTGTAAAACAGTTGTTAAAGAAAAGTGGCGCCTAACTTTTGCCTTTGCTTTTCGTTTTAATTATCTCGGATTGTGAAAAAATCAAAAGCGTGTTTTTTTTCAACGCTACCTGTAAACGGACTAAACGTCTTGTTGAAAATCGAAAAACGAATGGTATTAGTTCGACCTTGATATATTAATCTCGCGTTTAAACGAGTATTTTCCGATGTTCCACTGCTGAGATCATCGCGACACAAAATCACAGCTTTAAATGTGTACGCGGTGGACTACATAAATGCTTCTGCTATTCGCATCGCATTAAATAGTGCATAATAGGCATGAGCAGTGTATTTTCGATTATAATCAGCAAAGTCTAAATGACTTTCTTTTTTATTTATTTGTGTAAAATCTATATTATCATTTAATCATAAAATCAAATATACATATTTTGTAAGATGCTACAGAAATTGTTTTCATGAAATAAAGACAAACGATTGAATCAAGACAAAAATAAGCTCATTACTTTCATAGTAGACGAGTTTTGTGGAAGAATTACATTCAAACTGTTTGTTAAAATGTTCGGTACTTTGTAAAAAATGAGTTGATATAGATATTTTTTTTTCTCTTCACAAAAACGGTTCATTCTTTAAACTTTTTTAATCTCAGATATTTATATATGAATTGTACGCTTTATATATTTGTAGAATTATTTTTCTGTTTGAATGTCTTTTCATCATATTACGTTGTTAATGAAAAGAAAAAGTATAAAAGATAAACACTTTGATAATGTCTTAGTATTACTTACAAGGAACGGTGTTCGAATCCCGGCGATACCCGATATAGAATGATCGCCGATAAGTTGCTAACGGCTATTTGTCTCAGATCATCCGCCCGATAGCATACTGACTGTGTGAATGACATACATTAAAAGCTTCTGTGGCTAGTATGTGATTAGTCAGTCTAGAATTCTAGCTAGTAATTGTTGTCGAGAAAATATCAAATTTTCAATATTGTCTCGAGAACTGCAAGATAGTCGAACGGCACGGCATTCTTTGTTAGTATTCTAATATTCATTACTACTGATAACAATAGTGTATATCTTTACACCTAACTATTCAAACCTTCTTGGTTTTTTAAATTAGGTAATAATAATAAAACATTTTTATTTGTGTAAATAGCAATCGGTGGACGAAAAGATACAATAGAAGGTGAAACATATTCAAGAATACCTTTTTATTTACAAGAAAATAGTCTTACTCAATCTAATAGTCCAATAACAACAATAAATCCAATACGATCAAGCATCGAAACATCTGATAGTATATCAATAAATAATCAAAGAAAATTATCTTCAAAAAATAATCATTGTTATCAATCTGATTTATATCTCAATAGACAAACAAAAAATTCTATTAAATTTTTGAATCTGTATTTAAAACAACAAAAAAGAAATCGATTTCGATTATTTAAATTTCGACGAAAAAAAATTTCAAATCATTTCAATAAAAATAATAATAATAGTCAGATCATAAATCAACAATCTTCAATAATAACTATTGACCAAATTCTTCATCGTCAATGGATACAAACATTTAAACAAAAGTTAACAAAAATCAATACTAAAGAATCTTCATTGAATATATCAGAATGTCGAACGATTGAGTCATTCAGTACTCAATCTAAACTATATTCATCATCGATTAATTGTGAACTGAATGGACTTCTTCGACATACTCATGCAAATAATCATGTTTCATTTAGAAATAAAAATATGCAAATTCAAAATCAATTTTCTAATTATAAATTAGATGAAAAATCTTGTTTTTGTTCGGGTAAAAAAACATCTATATTATTTTCTGAATAGATTGTTTTGCATAAAATATCATTTATAGAATTTTCTTTGACAAATAATGCAATAGACGACGATAATGATTTTGTTAATGAACGAAAAACAATGATTAATGAGAAAAACTATTTTTCTAATAATAAACAATCAACATCACCATATACTATCAATGAAAATACTTTACGACATTCACCTACTGGGAAAAATAAACGATTATTAACAAAAGATATTATGTCTGGTGAGTATTTTTAATTTTTATTAGAAGCAAAACATGTAAAAGTATTCTGACAGTTTGATTAGATAAAATGTTTTGTAATCATTACAGTCTCCTATGGGATATAAACATTAATCTTAATAAAGAATCGTTTATCATTATTTATAAGACTATTTTTGTATACATATTTTCCAAGCTGTTTTGTGCAAAGAAAATTTGAAATAAGAGAATTAAGTTAAAACAATCGACTACTTTATTTGATAAGAGTAATCTGATATAATTTTTGCAATATTTTCATTTGCTTGTAAATTAATGGATTCTTCTCTCTAATCAATTTGTTAAAATAAACAATCAATGTTACTTTCATGACTGCTGTCATCACTGTCGAAAGTCTAAGAATCTTGTCTTATATTTCCACATTCTGTTTTACTCATATTTCATAGATTTGTTTACACTATTATATCTCTAAATGATTGCATTTATAATTAAAATATTTTTTCTCTTCAAAAATATTACTAGAAGCCGAACATCTGATAAAACATTTACATTTATCACGTCATACAGATTACGATTCTACATCAACCGTTTTCATTAAATCTATATCATCCCATGATAATGAAACATTTTTGAAGAGATTTTCTATACCAGAAGATATTTCTTCTATTAATCAACGTTTATATATGAATTTTACTGAAACATGCCCATTATTTTTATTAAAAGAAGGCATTGATCATCGTTTTGAATTTCTTGATTTTGCTCCTGATTTATATATAAGACAAACATTTCATCCAATAAGCCAAGATGAATTAATATCAAATAATACTGAAATACAACTTGATATTACAAATACTATATCACAAAATATACATCAAACATCAGAAATCGAGTAAAATTTATTTTATTTTCATATATAAAAATGAGTAGATCATTCTTTTGTCTTTAATACATTGCGTGTAATCAATAATAATCGAATAAAATATTTATCTATTTGTTTTTTTTTGTTGTAAGATATAATCAACGTAATTGTCGTTGTAATTATTTACTTGTTGAAATCTATCGTTTATTAATTAAATTATGGGATCAATCATCAAATATTGAAAAAGTACTATATTATTCATTAGAATTAGCACGTGTAGAATTAACACGAACAAATTATTATGAATCAAAAATAATCTTAGAAAATATTCTTGAACGTTTAGAAAAACAACGAGAATATTTAAATTTACCATCATTTTTCGAACCACAAATTTATGATTTATTATCAGGTTCATTTATTTTTCCATGAGAAACATATATTTCATCTTGTTGTTGTTGTAGAATCTGTTTATCGAATGCGTAAAAATGATGAAGCTTTTTTATATGTTGTTTATGGTTTAAAAATATTAAATGTTCAATTAATTGATTTTCGTTCACGTGATTCATTAAAATTAAAACTACAATGTAAACAATTACGTCATACACTTATACGAACACTTATACATCAAACAATCTATAAAAAATTATCTGATGATGAAAAAATTCAACGATATTTTACAGGTAAATTATTATTTCGTGCTGGACAATGTGCAAGACGTCATGGACAATTATTATTTGCATATTTTTGTGTATTAAATGCAACATTATCATTAATTCAATGTCATTTTATTTTAACATCCTATGAACATTGTCAATCATTAACCTTACTTGCTGAATTATCACATGATCTTAAACGTATGGAAGATTGTGATTTATTTGTTCAAGCTATTATTAAATATATTGAACCCTCAATTCATATTGGTTATGAAACAATAGCTATTAAATCTTATTGGTTATCAATGACATGGAATTTATATCGAGGAAAAATTGATCGAGCTTTAAATGATTCCTATAAAATAAAAGATTTATTAAATAAAATAGGTGCTTATGAAAATCTTATGTCTGTTGCAACATATAGTTTACAAGTAAAATGAGGAATATATAAGAGATTTTCTAGAATTTGAATTTTCCTAGGCAGCATTAATTGGTAGAAGAGAAAGTGTTGTACGTGATCTTTTTGATATTATTGATAATGAATCAAATCGTCCATTACAATATGAAAATCGTTTATGGTCATTTATATTAACACTTGAAGCATTTGTTGAATTGAATATTTCCTATGATGAAAATTTATTAAATGAAATTGTTTTAGCTATTAATTATGTTCTTGAACATTTAGAAAAGAAAACTTCAACACCAGGAGATATACATAAATTTTTAACAATTGTTTTTTATGCACAAACAACTTTAGTAGAATGTTATACAAAAATTGTTAAATTAGATCGAGCAAATGAAGTATGTTTGAACTTAGTCTATAGAATTATAAACTATGACGTTAATACGAACTTATGAATAATCTTTAATCGAATTTGTATTATGTGATTATTTCAATCATATACAAGTGTCTTTTCATAAGAATGTTTTTTCCGTTCTATATTCTCTTGAAAAGAAAATAGAAACATTTTTTCCTCCTCTTTGTTTTATGAACACGAATCAACATATTACATAAAAAAAGAGTCAAGAATCCTTCAGATAATAATAGGATTATTTGAGTAGAGAGAGACACACAGATACATAACAGAGTTTAAAGTTTAAAATAGGTTAATATATTGATGTATATGTTATTTTATCTAAATCTCATTGAATAATAAATCGACTATTTCTAATTTAATGTCATACAGTTAAAAAAAACTATAAATTTCTTCTTTCATCTAGCATTATATGCGTGCAATAAAATTTGGTATGTCATTAAAAGAATGGACATTTCGTGTTTGTAATGGAATGCTTAAATTAGCATTATATGAAATTTATGAATGTACAAAATGGTTAATTGAAACTCGTTTATTAAAAATTCCAAATGAAATTCAACAACGTTTAATTATATCACATATGCATGATATAAGTAAACATTTTAAATTATTACGACCACGTTATTTAATGTGTTTAGCATTGAAATTTTTAATTATTGGTAATCAACGTTCAGCTAAAACACAATTTGCTAATGCTATACGTTTAGCTAATGATCTTGAATTAGATTCTGAAAGACAACATATTGAAATGATAAGAAAACAAATATTTAAAATATTTCGAAAAAGAAAAAAATCATGAACAAACATAATATTAATTTTTCTTTTTTTTCAGTATTGTAAATAATGTATAGAGAAAAAAAAGAAAAACAATGATTTCTATATTGCTGATTATATTTATGAATAATTCATAGATAATAAGGTATAGACAAAAAGAACTAACTGATGACATTCACTTGTCATCGTTTGTTTGTAAAGTAGCAGATTTTTTGATGTGCTTCTTTCATACTAAACAGAAACAAATAAAAAAAGAACTCCTATAATGTTAGATTGCCGACATACATTTCCGTTCTGTGCGCACATATTCTTTGTTTACTTATAAGAAGGATGGGCATTGCGTGGTAATATGTTTGATGTATGTTTTAATCAATAGTCTAGTCAATCTATGTTTCAATAAGAAGAAATGATAAATTTATTGATGTATAGTCTACAATTAATGCAAAAAAATATATACTAGTCAAGATTTTTTGTTCATTATATTTGTCGAGTAAGTTCTATTAGAATAATTACTGATCAAATCAATGATTGATGTTGTTCAATGTAAAAATCTGAATTTTTTTTTATTCTTATTAACAAATAAGTCCTTAGATCGGTAATATTTGAGAAATATTCATTCTCCTTAAATTAAAATGTGAATTTTTGTATACATCCTTAAAAACTAATCTCTAATAGAATAGATTGTAACTTTTTTGATGAATGATACAAAACAAATAATCTATTTCTATTAGTTTATTCAATTAAATTTTTTCGATACTTGCTATAATAGATATCGTTTTGCTTTGTTTCTTTAGATATTTTGTTATTACAGATAATATCTAATTGATTATACAAAGAAATATATTAGTTTAATCATAAAAATGTCGAATCTAATAGTTTGATAGAAAGATAATCAGTTAGTTATGGTAGATCTTTAAGAGATTATATGCTTCTTTTCGTACTTAGTATATCCTTATGGACCATTTTGTTTGCCCTTTGATAAAGGCGTGCTTTTTATGACTGTATACTATACATATTCATGCGTCTGTTGGATAGAAATTTGTTTAGTATAGCATTATATATGTATAAGAACACGCCTCATTTACATTCGTATAGCGTCGACAGAAGTATTTGCTTCTTGATAATGATAATGATGATGATAATATATATAACCTTGAGCTCAATTTTAGAAAGTGGTATCGATCTAGCATTTTGATATGGATAGAGTTAGCATTCTTCTTTAGTGTCATTCATCTAGAATGATGCAATCTATTCATACTAACTTTTTTTCTCTTCACTATGAGATAATAGTCGTATGTATTATTCATTGACGATTGTTTTCACACGCATTGAAGAGAAAGAAATATTTGGCGTTAATTCGGATTGACATTCCACTTTAACGTTGCGTTTGTTTTGACATCGGAAAAAGTTTGCCTTAGAGGATTCATATAATCGAACGAGAATTTCTTTACAAAGAAGAAAAGCTAATGATAAGAGATGTTCGATCATTATACGCACATAAAACGCACCGAAAATGTTTTCTTCGTGTTCGGGTGAAATGAGTAAATATGATTAATTTATATTATTCAATGAAGAAAGTGTTATGAATATCAGAGTACATGTTTTCACATGGGTCTTCTTATATATTCCCATAATAACTCCCTCGCATATTGTGAATTCACATATGAATATATATATATATAAAGGTGGTACCATCTGAGATAAAAACATTGAATAGAAAACGAATCAAAACAAATAAAAAAAGAAAGACATACGAAAAGAAAGAAAATGATATTCGAACAGCTGTGACAAGAAATAAAGACCGATTGATGCATGCTTGCCTGTATCATCTCGGGACTATCGTCGTGCGTTCGTGCTCTTATGTTATATGTCAATGAAAAAACAGAAAAAAAGAAAGATTGATTGCTTTGCCTATGAAGAATAAGATATTATTTTTCTTTGACCCGCCTAACATGAGTAGTTTCCGTTAACAAATCTTGATCTTGCTCAGTTGCTGTCTTTAACATACTGAGTCTGTCATCTTCTCAATTTCTTCAATCTATTTTTCCCTCCCTCCCTCTCTTTCATCTTCTCTTCTTCTTTCTTGATTTCAGTGTTATGTCAACACGGATATATTGTGCCGTGTCGTGTACTAGTAGAAACAACTCTAAGATGGACGGTGTTGAAAGATGGGCGCGCCATTGGATGACAGCAACAAAAGGATGAGATTCTATACACATAATTCATAAAACAAAACAACAACATTATTGTTTCTTTTAAGAATAAGAGAATGTTCGCGCGCTTGCGCGTCAGAGAGAGAGAGAGATAGAGACAGAAAAAAAGAAGAAGAAGAAGAAGAAAGACTGATGACGAGCGACAAAGAAAACATAGTTGTAATATAGGCTTATTTTTTCCAGTAGTTTATTTCGAGAATGATGGTGATGTTCGTGAACAATAACATAAAATGTTGTGTCCACTAGGGAATCATATGGCATGTCATATATCGTACACAATAGCATTCAGTAATTTGTTCACTTCTATTTTTTGTTTGACATTTAGAACGTCTGTTAAAGATGTTTTGTTGATTGTTAAATCTCAAATAGGGAATTCATGAATGAATATAGTGCGTATTATTTAGTCTGTTCTTTTACTCTAAAACCTACATTTGAATCTATCAGAATGTTTATCGAAATAAGAAGATGAGTAGATAATGAATGTTTTTTTTCTTCTTCTCCTCCTATTTTTATGTATATATTATCACATTAGATAAGATGAAAGTGTTGCTTATTGCAAGAAAATCTAATAGTGTCTAAATTTCTTTTTCTTTTTTTTTTCATTTTACAAATATGTCTAACATCAAAAACTATATTGAGATAATAGAAAACATTTCTTATTTTTCCTTTTTTTGTTTCTTTCAGGATCATATAACGTTTTTCTCTATTGTTCGATCAACAAGATTCTACTTAAGAAAAAATTTGCAATTTGTAGATTGATAATATTTATTGTTTGCTCTCAAGAGGATACAGAATATGTTATAATAAGCCTTTCTTTTGCTCTATAATATCACAAACTCTTTACGTAAAGTAAACTAATAATTTATTTTGTTCTATATCTAACATTCTTTTCATTGATTATTGTCAATTAATAGATAACATAACATTTTCAAGAGATGAAAGTCAGTTAGCATTTTGACTATTACTATAAATTGTGTATATTTCATATGAGTTAATCACAACTATATTATATCGATATATAGATATTTTGTCTTTCTTCGTTTTTCTTTTATCTTTTTTTTCCTTTTAACGAACTGTGTAATATAAATCGACATATTGATGACGTTTGTGTAAGACAAAATAGAGCATTAGTATACGTCATTTGAAGCAAAGAATATTTCTTCTTTTTCTATTATATTTATCAAGCAGTTTGTTTTGTCTGACATATTATTAAATACGAGAATTATCTGATAAAAAAAAATTAAATATATTGTTTTTCTATTTTTGATTTTTTTTCTTTCGTCGTCTCATTCTCTAGAGTAATGATTATAGTCAATTGGTGTCATATTAGTTAAATAATTGTTAGTAAACAGTGACAATGAATTGTTCAACACGAGAAGAAATTGCACGTCATATTGAATTATATACTTATCCATTTTTACTTGGTATTGGAACAGTTGGAAATCTTTTATCAATTGTTGTTTTAATTCAAATGAGACAACATAGTGTTTATCGTTATTTAACATTTATGGCTATTGCTGATACTGTTCTTTTATATATTGGTTTATTACGTGAATTACTTTTATCATCAAGTTTTCAAATGCATATTCAAGGTACATTGCTATGTAAATTACATGTTTTCTTCTTCTAGTAAGTTTATTATTCTTATTAGAAATATTTTTATTATATAATTTATCGTTTTTTAGTAATACTCTTCATCTTTCTTCATGGTTTCGATGTTGTCTAAATTTGGATCGTTATGTTGCTGTTAAATTTCCTATATATACATCAAAATGGTGTCGTACACGACAAGCATCAATAAATTCAAGTATTGTATTCGTTGTTTTATCATTATCAAATGTTCATCTATTAATATTTGTTCATGGTGATGATGGTAATAATCATAATCTATTAAATATTTCAAATTTTACAGGCGGCTCTACTGTGAATCCATTCCAATATCAACGATGTTATTTACATCCAAATTATGTACATTTTTTCGAACAAATCTATACATGGATTGATATGTTTCTTGTAACAATAATCCCATTTATATTTATTATTTTATGTAATTTAACTGTTATTAATCGTGTATTTCTTGTCTCTAGTCCGAGTAAAAAAAGTGAAATAGTTAGTCGTTCCAAAGCAACAAATCGTTTACGTTCATTATGTTTAATGATGATATGTTCATCATTTGTATTCGTTGCAACAACATTACCGGTAACTGCATTTATTATTGATTTATTATCACATAAAGCATCTATTGATGTAATGCGTTGTCGACGTATACAATGGACAGTATATAATATTTTAATGTATTTTAATTATGCTAGTATACTTAGTTATTGTTTATCGGGTACGGAATTTCGTCATGTATTAATGAAAACAATACATTTTCGAACAAAACCAAGTTTAGCATCAATGTTTCATACAGATATGATGAATGCTGTTAATCAACGTCGAACATCAACACCACAACAATTTCATCGTGTACTTGTTGAATATCAAGGACAACAACGTTTTCGATCATCATCTGTTAGTGTATTACCAGTTAATAAAAAAGATACGAAAGATCAACATCATATGTTAAAAATAACACCAACAAATACAAAATATTTACAAATTCAACAACCAGATTATCATAATCGTTATAGACATTCTTGTACAAGTCAAACAAATTGTGGAGGAGTGACAGTATCATCAACAATTCAAAGTCCACTTAATACGAGATGGAAATCAAGTTATGCTACAAATAATCAACATGATATACTAGATCCTAATGATGACGTAAACTCTAATGATGCACATAGTAAATTAGTTTTTTGTTAATAAAAAAAAAGATAAATGTGTTTGTTTTCTTTTTTTTTGGCTTAATTACAATGGTTAAATGATTGTTGTTGGTTTTTTTTATATTAAAAAGAAAAAATATCTTTCGTATATAAATTTGACATCCCATTAGTATCTTCTGTATATTGACACGGTCAATCTTCTTTCAAATTCATTATTCTCATTTGTCAGTTAAATGGAAAAACATCTGTTACATTGTTTGTTATTTATTATGAATAATTTTTCGATACAAATAAGATATATCTATACAGACATATATACTTATTACCCTCATATAAAAAAAAAAGAAAATTTTAGAAAAGAATTAATAAATTAGACAGATAAGAAAGAAAATACTTTGTATAAAAAAAATAGAAAAGAAAATTAAATCTAGAGAACTTCTTCTTCGAAAATATCTCAACTATAAAGATAAATTTTAGAAAAAGAAAAGAGAAGAAAGTTGTATAATTGATATTTAACATCTTCTAATTGACGTCGATGATGAAGATTTTTTATATTCATATAAAATTCCATCTGCATATGTTTGAATAATTTGAAATGCAATATGCATATCATATTCCGAAGCATCTTTAGCACAAATAGCAAAACGAATTAGAAATATATCATTCACCATAGATGGTACAACATGTAATTGACCAGAGTCGTTTAAACTTAATAATAATTTTTCAGTTAATTTATTTTTTCCCTAAAATAAAA